CTTGTAACTAAAAACTCCCACAAAGAGTCTACGCCCCACTTCTCCGGACGCGCAGGCCAACAGGCGTATCCGCGACCGCGTCGGTACCGGGGACAGGCACCGCTCCGCGCGCGCGAGCAGCAGAACGGCACACGGCTGCAGTGCGCGTTCGCTATCGCCTTGGTGCGTTTCCACTCTGGTGCCCCGAGCTGGAGGTGTACCAGAGTGGGATCGGTCAAGGTCGCGGGCTTCACCTCGACGTCGACGTCGGTGTCCGTTCCCGACACACGCTCGAACGCCGTGCCGGCACCGCAGTGCTGTCGGGAGAAAGAGACCGCACGGTGTCAGTGACCGCAGGGCGAGAAAATGGAGCATGCGGACCTGTAGTTGGTGGCGCTCCACCCCACCCGCTTCGTCACCCAGAACCTCCCGGCAGGGCGCGCTTGCTGGCGTGTGTGCCACGCGCGATGAGCTGTACCGCCGTCGTCGTCCAGGACCGTCCGCCACCGTGCGGAACCGTGGACGCGTATCGGAATCGAAGTCGACGAGCGTCGGAGCGTCGGAGCGTTGGAGCGTCGTCGCCAGTGAAGGTGACGACCGACGGGGGAGGAGCGATCGCGCGCGACGGCACGCGCGCCGGTCCGCGTACATCAGCGCAACGCCCGCCGCCGAGCCCGTGCGGTCGAGTACGCCTCTTACCAGCTGTATAGTCTGTCTGCCTAGTGCGAGGGAAGCCCGAGCCAGGCCATCTGGATCGTGTCGTGCATCCGCCTGAGGTACTGCCAACCCAGAAGGTCGAGCATCAGGAGCTGGTATGGAGAAGGCTTGCGGGAGATGCGTGAGGGACAGCCGCACGCCTTTGGGTTGGGCGAGGGGCGGATGGGCGTAGGGAAGGGTGGACCCGGAGGCGTCGAAGTCAAGTCGAGGATGAGTTTGAGGAGCTTGTACCATACACTCACGAGGGAGTTCGGGGAAGCCGTGGATGCTGCGGCCAACATTCAAGGCGCAACTTTCAGCACGTAGGAGACGCGTGGATGGGCCTGGCGTAAGACGTTATGAGGGTGGTCCCTGGATGAATACAGCAACGTCTGTTAACGGGCTCAGGACTCACTCGAAACCGCCGAGGTGCTCGCACTCGACCTCCTCGATGACCACCAATTCCCTGCGAGCCTTGCTGACGATCTTCGCGGGGACATGGTGCTGCGCGCCGCGAGTCGAGCGAGCGCACAGAGCGCGGCTTGGTCGTGCTCGCGTGGGCTAGCGGGACAGGTGCGGGAGTGGACTGGGGGGGGGGGGCGACGCGGGGGGTGGGGATGGGACCGGCAGCGACACCGTGCCGGACTGTCCACGAGTCGGACGTGCCCGCGCGAACAAGCACGGCGCGCGAGAGGGGTGGAGGACAAGGTGGACGGGGGTAAAGCAGAGGTGGAGAGCACAAAAAACGGGTGTACTCACCGAGCTAGTGGTCGCCGCAACTCACGGTGCACACCAACACCCTGATCTCCGAGTGGACGTCGCCCGCACACCGCAGTTCTCCAGAGGGTGGCAGGCCGTGCGGGCGAAGGAGGAACGCGGCACTGGGCGCCCGCGATTGGGTGCTCAGGTGCGCGGCGGAGGGCGCGAAGCGGGGGAGGCGGATGGACGAGCTTATTGGCATTCGGAAGGATGTCCTCCAGTGTGGTGCGTGTCGTGGCGCCGCCAGCAGAGTGGTAGAAGGAGATGGCCGGCACCAAGCGGCGCCTGGGTGTCCAATGGCAGTTCGGATGGATACCCACCATCGACACCTGAAGGCGGTGTGAAGCGTGAGACGAGAGAGAGACCAGGAGAGAGAGGGAGAAGAAAATGGTGCGCACCGCTCGCGTTCCCGCTATGTAGAGGGAGAGGAAGGTACACTGCGACGCGGAGTCCACCTCGTGCGCATGACGCTATCGAGCGCCAGCGGCGATGCGCAACTGCCCGCAGCACCCGCTTCGCGGTCGCCCTCTCGAGCTCGCCTTCCCGTCCCCGGATCCTCCACCTCCGTCCACCGCTCCCACAACCGTAGCCAGAATATACTCTGGTCCATGCCTTGTGCGTCGCCCCAAGACCATCTACTCGAGCCCGGCTACAATCGACCCGCCGTACAAAGGGTATGCACAATAAGAGTCACTCGCGTAAACCTTTCCCGTTGTATGCGCTCGCTGCTGCCTTATCTCGTCCTGGATAGGTGCCCACCCACGGTGGAGGAAACACGGCCCCTCGAGGCACAGGTGGCGACCCAGCTCGTGTCCCATACCGAACATTTGGCCGACGATTTGTGAGGCGTGCTCATCCTCTATAACGCCGCGAACCCGCACATTAAGCGAATCGCGCACGCAAGCCCCGCCTCAACGATGTCGTGCTCAACAAAGGTTCGCGGGCCATCAGTGCGTCCGCGCCTGCTCCTATGTGCGCCCGCCCAGCTGACTGACGCGGCCGCCCGCAGGAGGAACGCACTGCTCGATCGAGTGGGACGGGGACCACTTCGCACAGGCCGCAGTCAATTCGATGAACGGAACGCTCGCGAGTATGCGATCTCCCCGTGCCGCGCGACACCGCCCGCTGACGACACCCTCCAGAGCAACGGGACGTAGGAGCATGACGTAGGAGCGCATGCCGCGCACCGACCGGGGGACGGCGACTGCAAAACATGGCCGCCGGCCGACTCTCTGCTACTCCATCTGCTCTCTCTTCCTCTGGCCTGGCTCGTCCCCTCTGCACACTCGCCCGCGGCCGGATGCAAGCCCACACACACGTCGCCGCACACAGGCGGAGGATGAGATCAGGCCTTCAGGTACGTTTCGCACCCTCGCTCTTGTTTTCTTCTCGCGCAAGTACCTGCCGTCCCTCGCTCCTGCATTCCTTTCGATCTCCCCACGGCCGCAATGTCCTTTGCCGTGGTGTCGTAGCGGGGAGGCATCTACGACCGCAAGCAAACCATGGGGGTCGGACAGTGCTGGATCCGTGTTCTGGGGGATTGGGAGGGCCGCCAGGCGTCTGGCGTCCGGGTTCCGGTTTTAGGGACGCAGACATGACTGGGTTTCGTGCCGAATACTCCGTGCGAGGACAATCCGTGTCAGGGAGGTTCCAGGAGTCGTGATGACGATGCTGACGGTGTTCCACAGACACAAGACACACCATGGAGGCCACGACGCGGGTAAGTTCGGACACGCACGCGCCGTGAATTTTGCAAGAGCAAAGCACGACTATCATGCACCCGCCCTCCGCGCTCGCACCGCCCACGCCTTGCGCCCCACATTCCCTGGTTCCTGCCCACCGTACGTTCCACTCTGCGAGACCACATCCCCGCGAGGCTGACGACGGCCGATAGCTGGCCGTTGGATCGACTGAACGAAGGAAAAAGAGGGGCCGTGGCCGCACACGCTTGCGGAGAGGCGTCAGCGAAGGTCGCAAAGAGCGGAAGAAGTCGGGGGAGGAACATCGCTTGCGCCGTGAGCCGCAAGGTGCGTACTGCATCTTCAGCTCGCTTTTCCGTCGCCGATGAGTCCCCAAGATCGAGGGTCATCCTCTTGCCGACCGCGATGCGTGCGCGGCCGCGTCTGGCAGAACTTAGAAGAACGCAGGAGCGTCTCGTCAGTCGCGGTCACCGCAGCTCCGATGTAGCATCGCGCGGGTACGACGGCCGCGAATCCAGGGCGTCGACTTGGTGCGTAAGCCGGGTGTCGACAGAGGCAAGCGCGGCTGCCCTCAATCCCGCAGAGCCTCAGATCGGGCCGCGGCATACGGAGCAACACCTCCGATAGAAGCCCAGCGTTGGCCGCGGCGACGGGCGCGCAGAAAAACCGCACGAGGGCCTGACGTTGTTGTTCGCACCTTCGAACACGAGCGCGGCCTAACTATGGCCGCGCACGCGGCATCGCGAACATCTCACGCACCCTTCGCGAAGGTCGAAGGAGAAATCTCCACTGGCGTGCGGCACACACGTGTCTCGATCCACGGCAGCGACGACACGCGTACGGTACCGCTCGTTGCTGCCAACCTCGGGTTCCGTGGACCAGTCGCTCGAAATCGATCACACCTTCCTCCTCCGGCCCCTACTCGACGCTCGACCGGCGCAGCCAAGTGGGTCGCGTTCCAGTGTCCGCGACGGCGCTCGCGCTCGGCGATGGCGCACCCGCCCTTGCCTTCATCGCCGTCTTTGCCGGCTCTGGCGTCGCGCGCGCCTCCGCCCGCGTTCGCTCGCGCGTCTCCCCCGCTCCGTCCGTGTGCTTCGGCCCCATCGGTGCGGGGCTCTCGCTGCGTCTACCGTCGTCTCGTGCGCCGTGCGGAGGTACCCAGATATTTCTGCACATGCGGCACTTGTTCCGCGGACGGGTCGCTCGACGTTGCCAAATGGCTTACCAGCCCACGATGCCCTCCCGTCCCTCCACTTCCGTCCAGCGTCCTCACAACTTCCTTGACCAGAATTTACCGTGGTGCGCACCTGGCGCGGCGCCACCAGATCATCGACATCCATCCGATATCGGCTGCACTTGGCCACCCGCGATGGAAGGGGTATGGGCGCACTGAACTGTCCCTGACGTGTCACGGCGACGTCATCGCCAGACTCACCTCCCACGTACGCCTCTGCTGCTGCATGCGCTCGCCTCTCGCTGATCTCGTCCCGGACAGGTCCCCGCCCACGATGGAGCAGATAGCGCCTCGAGACATGCAGGCGGCGACCCGGCTCGTGTCCCAGACTTCAAGGCCTCACATGCACATCCGGCCGACGATGGCCCTGCAACGCCGCTACCTCTTCGAGGCGCAGCGCACGTTCCGGTTCGGGCGCAACCCCCACCGTCTCAATGACGTGGTGCTCGACAATGGCTCGCGGGCGATCAGTGCGTCTGCGCCTGCCCGGCTGACTGACGCCGCCGCCCGCAGGCGGCACGCGCTGCTCGATCGAGTGAGACGGGGACCACTCTGCTCAGGCCGCGGTGAATGTCGCCGACTTCTTAATGAATGGGACGTTCGCGAGTATGCGATCTCGCCGCGCCGCACTGCACCGCTCGCTGACCAAGCCCTCCAGATCAGCTCTGACGATCTGAGTATGCAGGCCTCGTCTCTGGCGGAGACTTGCTCGAAGGTATCACCAACGCAGACCGCGGGCTGCGTGCGCCTCCGCCTCAGTTTTTGCCCTGGTATATGCGCTCCCTGTCATCGCACAGGGGCCGAGACGCAGCGGATCACCTACCGGATCTACGGAGTCCTTTCCGTAAGCACCTCTGTCCTCACCGCCTCACCGCGACCTGACCATTGTCTGCAGCGCGTGCACGATCAAGGAATCATTCACCGCGACCTGAAGCTCGAGAACATTGTCCTGAAGGACCAGTACCCGCCGACTGGGGGCTGGCGAAGACGATGGGTTCCAGACGATCCTCAAGGTGAGCATTTATCGCGAGCCAAGGATGCTCGTCGCTAACACGCGTCCAGACGTTCTGCGGAACCTCGCGCCGGAAGTGGCCGTTCACGACGTTCCCCACACAGGAAGGGTGTGGTCGAATGTGGTACAGCTGGACGTGATAGTCTTTGCCGTGTGCGTCCGTCCGAGCGCCGCGATCGACCCAACGCCGGCCGCGCGCTGGTCAGTCCCTATCCTCAGGCTCACGCAGCGCACCCCGTTCGACGCAGACCTACCGAGCACACCATCATCATTACCCGCCAGGTGCAGTGGATGCTTCTGTACGAGTGGGACGCCAGCGAGCAGGGTGCGTGTCCGCTCTCTCTTCCTCGCCACGCGGGCTGACCTGGGCCCCGCACACATAGCCCATCCGCGCGCTCCTCGCGTCTTCCTCGAGCGAGCGCATGTCGCTCGTGCTGAACCACCCTTGGCTCGCGACCTATGTGGAATTCGAAGGCGCGCCACAGCCGCTCCCCGCGACCCCGCCCGTGCTCCACACCGCGTCGCTCCAGGCCCTCCCCTCCGCCCCCTCCATCGCGGACGGCGCGCGCGCCGCGGAGCACGCGCACACCCCTCCGCCCGCCGTCTCGCTGATGGGCCTGTGAAGACTGCCCAGGACGGCGTCGCTGCCCCGCATGGATGGCGAGCAGGCCGCGTCGACGCGCTCCGCGGCGGGCTAGCGCACGTCCCTGGACGACCCGAGCCCCACCCTCGCCGCGCACCCATCGTCGCCCGAGCGCGCAGTGACCCCGGTGCGCGACTCCCACGCCGACGAACGGGGTCAGGGACGGCCACGTGCTGGCGATCCTGCGGTCTGCCGCGAGCGAGGGGAGCCGGCGCGGCAGGTTCCAGCGGCGGTTGGAGGTGCTGTCGCGGGCGCGGCGGGCGGGAGAGGAGTTCCCGGGGCCGTCGCAGGACATGCGTGGGTGGGGGGTGGAGGCTCTGGGCGGGGGCCGGTGGAGGAGCCCGAGCCTCACGCGATGAAGGAGGCTACCACAGCGCGAGAAAACGGAACGTTCAAAGACGACACACCCGTCGGGAAGGCGGCGGCGTCGCCGATGCTCAAAGAGGCGAAACGCAAGTCACTACCTGAGGAGAGTGACGATGAAGGAGATGGAGAAGCGGCGTCGCTGCTACCGCAGACGCAGACGCGGGAGCAGGAGGACTCTGAAGGGGGGTCGCCGCATGTGGCGAAGCGGCTGGGGACGGAGCTGTCGATATCTGTCACGGAGGTGGAGGGCACGGAGTAGTCGCGTCGGCGACGCCCAAAAGTGCGCAATCTGTACATTGTTGTCGCGCTTTCGTGTCGATGCTTTCGGCGTTCTGTCCTGTCGTACGCTACAGAATGCACATACCCATAAGTACATGTGCGAACGTTCTCCCAGATGCTCACAGGAGTACAATATTTGGACGTGCTTTGGCCTTCGTCAGAAGCGATGCACGGTCTAGTCCCAGTTGTGCTGAAGGCCGACGCGTGCGCAGAAGAAGAGGGTGGAGCGAACGAGGATCATACATGGCCTGTACTCCGTGGGCACCACCACGGGTACGGGTGCGGGTCATCCGACCCGTGCACACAAAAGGTGGACTCTCGGTAACACGTGGAGGTTTGTGCGGTCAACACGATGGCATTACACAGTAGTACAGTGCAGCACCACATGCATATATGCACCGTCGACTTGCACGGCCGCGAACTATCTTGTAACTACAAACTCCTCCGACGAGTCTACGCCCCACTCCTCCTTACGCGCAGGCCCTCAGGCCTATTCGCGACCGTGTCGGCACCGGGAACAGGCACCGTGCCGCGCGCACGAGCAGTGGCACGGCACACGGCTGCAGAGTCGTCGCGGTGCGTTTCCCCTACGCTGCGCTCTGGTGCCCCAAGCTGGAGGTGGACCGGAGCGGTGTCAACGTTGCGGGCCTCACGTCGACGTCGACGCCCGTGTCCATACCCGACACACGCTCGGAGGCCGTGCCAGCGTCGCAGTACTGTCGGGAGAAAGAGATCGCACGGTGTCAGTGACCGCAGGGCGAGAAAATGGAGCATGCGTACCTGCAGTTCGTAGCGCTGCACCCACCCGCTTCGTCGCCCCAGAACCTCGCGGCAGGGCGCGCCTGCTGCCAGGCGTTTGTGACACGCGCGGCGAGGTGTGCCGCCCCCGTCGCTGAGGACCGTCCACCGGCGTGCGGAACGGTGGACGCGTATCGGGATCGATATCGACGAGCATCGGAGCGAGTGAAGGTGACGAGCGACGGGAGTCGTCGAGGAGGACGTCACGATCGCGCGCGCGCAGGTCGTACATCAGCGCAACGCCCGCCGCCTCCGTGTGGTTGAGCCCGCCCTCGACGAGCAGCGCGAACGCGTTGTATAGCCCGTGCTCCGAGTGTGCGAGGGGAGCCCGAGCCAGTCCATCTGGATTGTGTCGAGCATTCACCTGAGATACTGCCAATCCAGACGGAGGTCGAGCATCGCGAGCTGGCGTGGAGAGAGCTTTCCGGAGATGCGCGTGAGGGAGAGTCGCACGCGTTTGGGGTGGGTGAGGGGCAGATAGGGGTGGGGAACGACGAACCCAGAGGCGTCGAAGTCGAGGATGAGTTTGAGAAGCTTTTGCCATACGCTCACGAGGGGGTTCGGTGAATGGCTTGTGGTCGCTGCAGTCACCATTCAACGTGCAGCTTTCAGCAGGCAAGAGTGCCGTTGCTGGCGTGTAGGGCGTAAGATGTCACGAGTGTGGTCTCAGTACTCACTCGAAACCGCCAGGTGCTTGCGCTCGACCTCCTCGATGACCACCGATTCCCTGCGAGCCTTGCCGACGATCTTGGCGGGGACGTGGTGTTACGCGCCGGCGAGTCGAACGAGCGCACAGAGCGCGGCGAGGCGGTTCGCGTGGACGAGCGAACGCGCGCGAGAGCGGAGTACGGCAAGGCGGAGGAGGGTAAGGCGGAGGATGGGGACAAGACCGGCAGCGGGGTGATGGGGACGCCACGCCGCACCCGCGAGTGGACGTGCCTGCGCGAGCGAACAGGGCCCGCACAAGAGCGGAGGAGAGCAAGGTGGACGGGGGTCAAGCAGAGGTGGAGAGCACAAACGGGGTGTACGCACCGAGCTAGCGGTCGCCGTAACTCATCACGACCCCAACATGATCTCATCTCCGAGTGGAGGACGCCCGGGTGGACGCCACCACACGCCGCAGGTGTCCACCTGCAGGGAGGCAGGCCAGGCGGGCGAAGCAGGAGGGGAGTGCGGCACCGGGACCGGGCACCCGCGATTGGGTGCCCGAGGGCGCGTGGACGACGCTTCTTCACGTCCGGAATGTATGGTGCGTGGTCGTGAGCGCCGCCAGGAGGTGGGCGAAGGAGATGGCTGGCACCAGGTGCCGCCGGACGCCTGAACGGGTGTGACTGAAGCGTGAAACGAGAGAGAGAGAGGGAGAGGAAAATGGTGCGCTGGTACCGCTCGCGTTCCCGCTGCCCGCCCACCGAGGCGCGTCTCCACTGGCGCCTGATCTCTGGCGCCCGGTCATGGCGATCGCGTCACGAGTGGTACTGAATCTGCGGCGTCGAACGCGAAGACGGACGCCAGGGCCATCCCGCACGCCCACGTTTGGCGAGTGTGGTGCACGAGCATGAGGCCAGCGTCGACCGTAGCCCTCTCCTTCGTCCGACCGCGGAACTGCCAGGCGGAGTTGCGCGGTCAAGCGCATGCGTCTATTAACAGTGAGGTAGGCTGTATGTTCTCTTCAGCTCGCCTACCGCTCACTCCCCGTCCTCCTCCCCACCCAGTCCTTGCTCACATCCCGTCTCGCGAGATCCGGCGCTCAGGGAACTCCATCCCAGTCAGCTTCACTATGCCGCCCTCGCCGACCGTCTCTGCCAAGGATTCACCCCGCGCTCCGGTACGCACAGACTTGAATCACCCAATGACGCGAACGACCAGCTGATACACTCACACTCAGACCTCGGCGCATTTGTCATTCAACAAACCTCAGACACGCTCGCCTCCGCTGAAGATACACCCTCCTCCGTGACGCTGCCAGTATGCCAGTTTTTCTCTTTTCGGAAGCTAAAATTGGCTCACACAGTTCGATCAGGCGAACACGTCCCTTGACAAGGTCTGTGTCCTGCTGAAGGAGATTCTTGACGAATTCAAGAAGGTATCGTGTGATCGTTTCCACGTCCCTCTCGTATGCTCACCATTGATCAGCGCCCCAAGCGGCAGAAGAGGGATTGGAACGGAACGGAACGTTGGTGGGATTGAACCCGTGAGTATATCGTTCACTTTCTGCCAGATACTAGAGATTCATGGGGTGCGCAGACTCGTATCGAACCATCACTAGCAGCAGGAGATAAAGAACTGCCGGATATACACGACAATGTGAAGTACGTCCCGCATTTCACTCGGTCGCATTCAGATATGCTGAACGTCCTGAACGTAGATCACCACACTACTAAGAAATAGAGCAGACGGAGGTCGATGCGGCATGGACGAGACTAGAAGACGGTGGAGAAGTACAGCGACGAGCTCGTCGACCAGTGGAACAAGGAGATCGACGGTCTCTTGACCTTTGTACGTCTCGACTTTCGTGCCTCGGCAGTGACCCTCACCCGCGATCACTCAGGACGGTCTGTTCTCCGCCGCTCTCACCGCATTCAACACCATTGCCTTCGCAATGCTCCAGCCTCAATCAAGCGATCAAACCAACGCGATCTTGACTCAGGTCTCTGCCCAGCTGAAAGCTTTGCGCTCAATCCCTCTTCGTCAACTCACCGCCTTGGCGTTCCAGGATATCGTACGACCCCCTTTCGCCCCGAGACCTGGGCCGTTGGGTGAATGCGCTCTGGTTCACTAGTCTCACTTCAGCTTGTCGTCGGCGACGATCGGGATCATGGTGAAGCAATGGCTCAAAGAGTACAACACCGGGCTGTACGGGTTCTCCGCACCAATCACACGACGTCGCATCTACCGGCTCTCGAACCTCAAAAGGCGCACATCCCTTCATCATCTCGCTGTGCCTCTCTTCTGATCGCCGCCGTCATTCTCTTCTTCGCAGGCCTCCTCATCCTCCTCTTCCACTCCGACGTCCCGTCTTCTCCGCCACTGCGACGTTCGTTGGGATGCTCCTGCTTTTCATCATCGTCACAACGATCATCCCCTCGATCATCCCTCGATGTGTTACTTTTCGCCTCAATCCAGGGCCTTCCATTCTCTCTGGAGTGTCATTCTCAGTTCTACTCGCTCGTTTATCGTTCAATAATACGTGCCCTCCCTCTTTTTCTCACCCTCGCTACAGAGGATTGGCTACCTTGAACGTGTCTGGGGCGCAGATGGGGCCTTCCGCGACTTTTGTCCTCGAGAAGGTTCCAGAGCCCCATGTATGGAAAGGCGACGAAGAGGCCATTCTTCACGAAGCGCAACCGATCTCGACGCACAGACGGTCCACTGGGCGATGATCAGCTCTCAAAACACCGCATGGCGCACACGGCTGCGATTGCCTATCCAGCGACCCACAGGTTGCAAAGTCGTATCGGGAATGGACCTTCGGACGCCTCTCGGACCTATACGGGTCTGTGCTCCATGGCCAGACTTTATGGTGAAGATGTTTACGACCCCCTCTTGAACGTGGCCGGTGGGTTCTCTTTCAGAAGTGCTCGAGGGCGGAGGAGACGAGGACGCCGCTCTCCGAGAACGCCCGCTTCATCATGAGTATAACAAGACCGCGGCCCAACTGCTCTTCAGCATGCAAAGAACGGTTGAACCGCGAGCGCAGACTCAGAATGGGACGAACTGTGGAAAAGCAATACGTTCCGGAATATCAGTGACGCCGAAACGTTGCAACTTGGTGCGCCTGCGACTTCACCTTCAACCCCGTCCAAGTCAGAGCGCTCACCGTGACCGCAGCTGCCTTCGCGGCAGCTCACCGGATGCAAACGCTCGTCAGCGACCGTGGACTCCGACGCGCAGACCCGCCTTCTCAAGAGGTCCTCACCGGCGAGTTCATGTTCATGCAGAACCATATCCACCCCATCCAGGAACTCGTCGAGGACTCGGCGCCCAGGATCCGCGAGTGCGACGGCATCGCTGTGATCCAGCCGTTCGTCGCGCACGCGTTCTCCTCCTTCGAAAAGCTCCTCAACACGATTGACTGGTCACCGCTGCCTGTATCACCGGACGACGCCTGCAGCTGGTTCGCGCTTACTCTGGAAGACATGCTCCAATTCCACTCCCATTCCTCAGACGGCATTCGCCATCTGGTCACACCTTCGCTCGTTGCAGCGCTCGAGCGCGTATTCATACAGTTCGCTGGAACGGAGGACTGGCGTCATATGTACCCGCGGAGTTTGTGGGTGGACATGTGCAAAGATTGTCTCCTCGATCTCACGTCGAAGGTCCCTCCGTGCCGGGCCCCTCCACCAGACGCGTCGTCTTCCGCCGCAGGTCCTCAATCGGAGAAACAGAACGACCAAGCTGCGGAACCCGAGCCTGTATCCGTCCTTCATTTGTGCGATTCCCGACGCTGACCCCGTCTCACAGCCCTGCCGATTTCCCCGTGGAGGTGGACGCCACTGCCACTCCACACGAAATGTCCACGGCGCCCGACGCAGCGACCGGGACCCGACTGCTCGTCAGTATACTAAGAACGGTCGAACACGCGAGCACAGAGTCAGAATGGGACAAACTGTGGGAGAACGACGCGTTCCAGAAGATCAGTGACGCCGGAACGTTGCACCTCGGTGCGTCTGCGACTCCACCTTCGACGCCGTTGGAGTCAAAGCGCTCACCGTAACCGCAGCTGCCTTCGCAGTAGCTTACCGGATGCAAACGCTTGTCAGCGACCGTGGCCTCCGACGCGCAGACCCGTCTTCTCAAGACGTCCTCACCGGGGAGTTCGAGTCCATGTACAAGAATATCGACTCCATCTGGGAACTCGTCGAGGACTCGGCGCCCAGGATCCGCGAGTGCGACGGCATCGCTGCGATCCAGCCGTTCGTAGCGCACGCGTTCTCCTCCTTCGAAACACTCCTCAACACGAAAGCCGACTCGTCGTTGCCTGTATCACCGGACGACGCCTGCTCCCACTTCTGCTGTATCCTGGACACTATACTCGAATTCAACTCCATCCCTCAGACGGCATCCGCCGTCTGGTCACACCGTCGCTCGTTGCAGCGCTCGAGCACGCGTTCACACAGCTCGTTGGAACGGACGACTGGAGTCGAGTGGAGGCTCATGGTTTCACGCCTGTGCGCAGGTGCCAAGATCTCCTCCTCGATCTCAGGTCGAAGGTCACGCCGTGCCCTCCGCCCGATGCGCTGTCTTCCACTAGAGATCCTCAATCAGGGGAACACAGCGACCAAGCTCCGAAACGCGAGTTCGTATCCATCCTTGCCATTTGTGGGACTCCCGACGCTGACCACTGCGTCTTCGCACAGCCCTGCGGATTTCATCGCGGCAGTGGACGCGGCTACCAGGCCCACAAAACATTCACGGCGCCGACGCAGAGACCAGGACCCAAATACTCATCAGCCTTCAAAGAACTGCTGAACCCGCAAACACAGACTCAGAATGGGCAAATTGGCGCACCAACGCGTTCCAGAAATCCGTGACGCCGGAACGTTGCGACTCGGTGCGTCTGTGACTTCACTTCGACCCCGTCCAAGTCAGAGCGCTCACCGTGACCGCAGCTGCCTTCGTGGCAGCGCACGGATGCAAACGCATGTCAGCGACCGTGGCTCCGACGCGCAGACCGCCTTCTCAATACGTCCTCACCGGCGAGTTCATGTTCATGCGGAACATATCGGCCCCATCCGGGAACTCGTCGAGGACTCGGCGCCCAGGATCCGCGAGTGCGACGGCATCGCTGCGATCCAGCCGTTCGTCACGCACGCGTTCTCCTCCTTTGAAAAGTTCCTCAGCACGATTGACTGGTCGCTGCCTGTATCACCGGACGACGCCTGCTACTGGTTCGATGATATCCTGTCCGACATACTCCGATTCCACTCCCATTCCTCAGACGGCATACGCTATCTGGTCACACCTCCCTCGTTGCGGCGCTCGAGCGCGCGTTCATACAGCTCGTTGGAACTGAGAATTGGCGTCAAATGGAGCCGGAGGATGTAGATGTGCGCTGGTGCAAACGTCACCTCCTCGATCTCACGTCGAAGGTCCCGCTGTGCGCTCCACCGGGCACGCCCGGGACTCCCACCGGAGACCCTCAATCGGAGAAACACACCGAGTTCGTATCCACCCTTGCCACTTTTGTGATTCCTGATGCTGACCCCGCCTCACAGCCCTGCGGATTCCTCGCCACGGTGGATGCTGTTGCCACTCCACACGAAACGTCCATGGCGCCCGACACGGCCCCTGCCACTTCGCCGGCCGCCTCCATGGATATACCACGCACACCGTAGATTTTCGTCGTGCACGGGTTGAAGTGTTGGTGCTTCATGCGCAGGACTACGTGAGGATGTGGGATGACGGGTCCGGGGTCCCAGGCTTCATTCTTTCGTGCATGTCTATATGGCGAGAACAGAGAACGGATTCAACGACATAGCTTGTGATGGCAATCAGACCGAAATTTCATCCTCTAGCTCCGCTTCCTCTTTCGAGTCAGCAATGCTGACCATGGTTGACGTGAACGAGACCACAACATGTCATCGAAGGATACGAGCAAACAACAAGTACATGGTGCGGTCTGATTACATGTCAGCCACCGTCCGTTGTTTCGACGCCAGCGTTCCTCCAAGGCCCAAGTCACTGTTCTGACATCGGGCACTGGAACCAGAACCATACATGAGCAATTCTTCACCGACAGGGGGAAGCAGGGAAGGCGCTCAGAGCTTGTTCAACGCTCTCACGCGTCTTCTGCGGACCAAGCTCATCGTCATGGAACCCGTCTGCCTCGACGCGCACCCGGAGGACATCGCCGGCGTTGATGCACATCCGGTCCGTCAGGGGCAACTCGAGGAGTTCGTGCGACAAGCAAGTTGCTTCCGATCCTGGAAGCCGGAAATGTGCTCGCTCTTCTGGGTCGCTGGGGGCGGACGGAGATAGGTGTCGGGGAAGACATGCTAGATAGGGGGGCACTTACAAGGCGCAGGGGTCCGGCAGGTAAACAAGGAGGGCGTAGATGTCGCCAAAGAATCCGACAGTTACTGGGCGCGAGTGAGCTTCGGGGCGCGAGAACGAGGCCGAAGAGACGTACGTTGGACACCGTCCTCATCCGAGGACTTGACCTTGACGAGAATGACCTCGGATCCGGAGGGACGGAAGACGCAGAGAATTGGTAGTCGTACCTCCACCTAGTGCGAGACAGACTCACCGATCTTTGTACCACAGACATCCATCTCCATGCCGCACCTTGCCCTGCCGTACTTCCGCGAAGACGAAGACACGTGTGCACATGCCGACGCCGTGCAAGACGCGTCTCGCGTGGACCTCGTTGAGTGCATTGGTGATAGCTTGTTCCGGAGGTAGACGAGCTGAGCCGGATGTACAGCTACTGTGTCCTGTCGGCTTCACGTTAAACATCGTCGGTTGCGAAGGAAGACGCGCGGACCTTGATCACAGAGAGCTGGAACGTAGAGGGCGGGACTAGGTTTTCTTCTCGACGTCCAGACGCTTGCAAGTACAAGATGGGCTGAGAGAGCGCGAGGCGGTCGAGAGGGCGGGGAAGGCGCGAACTCGCTCGACGCGGAGTCCACCTCGCGCGCATGACGCAATCGAGCGCCTGCGGAGGCCTGCGGTGACGCCTTTCGCCCTACGCTTAGCGCTTGCTGATCGGCCATGGCCTCGAAGCTGAGGGCGCACCACGGTCGACGCAACGCCTCAAGGCCTCATATCTATGGCGCACCCAGCTGCGCACCTCGACGCGTGAAGACCTCGCTCGACACACTCGCCTCCACGCCGTTGCGACCCAGGGTGTACCGCGGTCGACACAACCCGCCGTCCCCAGCGCCCCGACGCCTTTCGACCCATCGACGCTCCGCTCCCGCACGCCTCTCAATTGGCTGTCCCGTCCGTGTGCGCCCCCGCTTTGCTCTCCGCCCTTTACTGTTATATCTCAAAGAATGCGCACAGATCGGCCGTCCCACGCACCGTCCCCACACCCTCGACGCACTCCCCGCTGTCAGACTGAGACATCATCCACGAACCCGTTGGCGGACGTGTGCAAACCAACCAGACGCACACCGCTACTCCCAATGCCTGTCGTTGCCACCTGGCACGGAGTTTGCGGCCGACCACTCGTACGTGCTCATCTACCTTCTCATCCCCCCGGCCCTCCCCCCATTCAAGACCCCTATCTCCGACTCTCCCACTGTTCAGATCCCTTCGTTCTACCGCGTCTGCGCCCTCCCGACGTCTTTCCTACCTGCTAACCACGTCCTGCTATCAGCCGCGTTCAAACAGGGGCGCACCAGACGGCACCGTCGCCGTCGAATCATCCGTCCCTTGGCCTCACCTCACCCTAAACGCGCGGGGTCGCCTGGTCTCAGTCGAATGTGACCTTGTCCGAGGTAGGTGCCCAACGTACCTACACCGACATCCCACGCTCACATCCCGTCCAAGCAGAGAATGTGCCGCATACGCTCGCGCTCGAGATGGACCATTCATTCTCGCAGAACGAGACGCACAACGCTCGTACCGTCGTCCCGATCGAACGCCTCCGGTTCCGTCCCAGCCCCAGCTCGCTCGCTTCTGCAAGGTACGCGCGCCCAGCTTCCCGGCAGACGGTGCCAGCACACTTCCAGTCTCACTCGTGCCTACGACGGATACTCCCTGCGCTCACGACGACGCATACGCACAGTGCCAACAGGCCTCTGACAGTCTTCTGGAAGGGGTACGAAAACGCTGATTTTCTCGTAGACCTGTTTTAGCTCATCATGACAGTCACCAGCCGTCATGGCACGTCAGGCGTTCGGAAACCCCTTCGACTTGATGGCCGAAGCGCACCACCGCAAACCTTGAACCTGAGCGTTGACAGCAGGACAACGAGGAACAGACCTGCCAGGGTATCCTACCAAACGTGCACTCGATCCAAGACCACGCACCACGACGTCGTACACTGCCCGCTCGTGCGTCCCGTCAAATTCCAGCTCGAGCGAGAGCTCCCTAACGCTCTCGCAGCACCACTCCTCCAGAAACTCCCCCCGGAGCGCCGCCCCCATCGCGCACCGCTCCTTGCCGACCACGAGTTCCAGAACCGCCAGCCGCGTGTCCGCGAGGGGGCGCCGCAGCCGCATGCGGGACACGTCGACCTCCTCCGTGTCTTGCGGGCCCGGCACACGCAGGACAAGCCGGCGCGCGCGCCTGCGCAGCCCGAGACGGTACGTGTCTTCGAGCGACGCGCGGACCTCGTACAACGCCGTCCACGCCGCAAGGGCCTCGGCGTGCTAAGCAACGGGCACCTGGTGATGGAGCCCCCGATGACCAACATCACTCGTCCGCAGGGCCACTCGCGCTCGCCGCGGTCCGCGACTCACGCACACGGCCACGCGCAAGACCATGCGCACTCGCTGCCTACGCCTGTGGGATCGCCGGTCTGGTTTGGAAACGGGAACCAATCGGGGTCGTTCGCGGCCCCACCGGCCCCGTCCACTGGCTAATACCCCTCGTCGCACCACCGAAACCAAGCTCATGCCAACACGGTCGGGAGCGGTCGCCCGAGGCAGATCATCACCTGGAGCCGCACCAGCCCCAGCCAACGTAGGTGACGCTGCCTCCGCGGGGGATGACACACCGGCACATGGATCCGTCAGAGGTGCTCGCGCTGTACGGGCATGCGTCAGATCATGTCGCGCGCGGGGCGGAGACGCAACCGTGGTCGTTCCTGTCCATTCATGCAACATCATCCTCATCGTTCACGCTCTGTGAGTGCTCGCCATTACCATGACGAAACTTTCCGTCCATTGACCTCGCTCAGTCACACAGGAACGTGCCCGCCCGCGCGTACCCTGACCTCGCCGGCCTTGCATTAACCACATCCGTCGGCCGAGGAACCGTCACTCGCTTCGACCGGCCTATCCGCAAATCGTGCTCGCTCGCAACCGGGGCGCGGCTGCCGGTGAGGCTACGTTCCTCCGCATGGCGGCGGCTGCAGTTGGCTACGACAAAGGGTCTGCGGGTCCGCTGGGCGAGTGAGGAGGACGGCGCGTGGGTGTAATTGTGCGCGCGCGGATGGAGGGAGTGTAGACGCCAGACCAATGCGCGCTATAGGATCCCACGCGGTGCTCTCGTCTTCGAACCCGTCCGGCCTCCACCTCCATCCAGCGCTCCCACAACCGTAGCCTGAATATACTCTGGTGCATACCTGTCCCGTCTCCCCCGGATATCTCGTCTACTCGAGATCGGCTGTAATCGACCCGCCGTAAAGAGAGAGAGATCGGTGCGCTGAACTCTCCCTGATGCGGACGAGTCGTGCACGGTGACGTCATCGATGCCAGACAGCTCGTGTACGCCTCTCCCGCCGCTGTATGCGCTCGCTCCTCGCTGATCTCGTCCCGGATAGGTACTGGCCACCCACGATGGAGGAGACACGCTCCTCTAAACACAGGCGGAGACCCAGCATGCGTCCCAGACGGACCACCCAGCCAGCGGCAGCCTCATTCCCTGTGGCAACGCCGCGAGCCCGCACATCGAACGAAACGACCTCTTGATCAAGGCGCAGCGCACGTACCGGCTCGGACGCAAGCCCCGCCTTAATGACGTCGTGCTCGACAAAGGCTCGCGGGCCATCAGTGCGTCCGCACCCGCCCCCCTGCGCCCCCGCCCAGCTGACCGACGCAGCAGCTTGCAGGCGGAATGCATTGCTCGACCTAGTAGGACGGAGATAACTCCTCGCGGGTAGCGGTCAAGGTCGCCGACTTTTCGATGGGCGGGACGTTCGCGAGTATGTGAGATCCCGGCGCCGCACTGCACCACTCACCGACAACGCCCTCCAGATCAGCCCTGAAGGCCTGAAGCTGAAGGCCTGAGACCTGAAGCTTGAAGGCCTGACGACTGATATCTGCGCTCACTGTCGTTACAACGGGGTCGAGACACAGCGGAAGACGTACCAGATCTGCGACGCCCTTTCCGTGAGCACCTCTCTCCTCACCATCTCACCGCCCTCCGACCATTGTCTACAGTACGTGCACGATCAATGGATCATTCACCGCGACCTGAACTCGGAGAACGTTCTGGACAGGGACTGGACAGCTGGAGCGTCGGCGTGATCGTCCTCGTTATGTGCGTCCGTGCGGGCGACGCAATCGAAGGCCGCGTGCTGATCGGGCTCACGCAGAGCACCCCGTTCGACGCGGACCCGCAGAACGTAGACATCCGCACCATCGTCGTGACCCGCGGGACGCTCCTGTATGAGTGCGACGTGAGCGAACAGGGTCCGTGTCTCCTCCCTCTTCCTGGCCACGCGAGCTGACACGGCGGGCCCCCCCACACACAGCCGAGCGGTCCATCCGCGCGCTCCTCGCGTCCTCCCAGAGCGAGCGCATGTCGCTCACCGGCGCGCTGAACCACCCATGGCTCGCGGCCGAGGCGGAGGTCGAAGGCGCGCCCCGGCTTCTCCGCGGGACCCCGCCCACAAGTACTCCGCACGCTCCCCTCTTTCCCGTCTCTCGCGAACGGCGCGGAGCCCGCGCACACCCGCCGCCCGCCGCCCCGCTGATGGGCCCGTGAAGACTGCCCGGGGCGGCGAGCAGGCCGCGTTGACGCGCCCTGCGGCGGGCTCGTGCACGTCCCTCGACGGCCTGAGCCTCATCCTCGCCGTGCACCCGCCGTCGCCCGAGCCCGCGGCGACCCTGACGCCGCCGACGGGGTCAGGGACGGCCACGCGCCGTCGAGCCTACGCTCCGCCGCGAGCGAGGGGAGCCAGCGCGGCAGGCGGGCGAGAAGCTCGCGGCGCCGTCGCAGGACATGCGTGCGTGGGCTGCCGAGGCTTCGGGTGAAGTCGGTGGGGGGCCTGTGGAGGAGCAGGTGGAGGAGCCCGAGCCTCGCGCGACAAAGGGGGCGACGCCGACGCGAGGAAACAAAACGCTCGAAGGCGACAAACGGGTTGGGAGGTCGTCGACGCGCAAGGGGGCGAAGCGCAAGTCATTGGGGGAGGAGAGTGACGACGAAGGATACGGAGACGCGGCGTCGATGCCCCTGCAGACGCAGGAGCAGGAGGACTCTGAAGGGGAGTGGCGTGTGGCGAAGCGGCCGCGGACGGAGCGGTTAGAGATATCTGTCGCGGAAGTGGAGGGTACGGACTAGTCGCGTCAGCGACGCCCAAAAATGCTTTATGTGTACATTTTTGTCGTGCTTTCGTGTGGATGCTTTCCGTGTTCTGTCTTGTCGTACGCTATAGAATGCGCATACGCATAAGTACATGTGCGAACGATCTCCCGGGTGCTCACTGGAGTAAGATATTTTGACGTGCTTTAGCTTTCGTCAGAAGCGATGCACGGACGAGGCCCAGTTTTTGTTCTGAAGGCCGACGCGTGCGCATCGAAGCAGGCGGTGGGCGCGGACGAGGATCATAGATAGCCTGTACCCCCGGGAGGGGATCACCAGTGCTTTGGGTACGGCTGCGGGTCATAGTTGCCCAACCCGTGCACCCACCCACACGGTGGACTCTCGGCAACCAGTGGAGGTTCGTGCGCTTAACCCGATGGCATTACACAGTTGTACTGTAAAACATCTCACGTATATATGCATCTTGCACGGCCGCGAGCTATCTTGTAACTAAAAACACCCGCAAAGAGTCTACGCCCCACTTCTCCGGACGCGCAGGCCAGCAGGCGTATCCGCGACCGCGTCGGTACCAGGGACAGGCACCGCACCGCGCGTGCGAGCAGCAGAACGGCGCACGGCTGCAGCGCGCGTTCGCTATCTTCTTGGTGCGTTTCCTTTAAGCCGCACTCTGGTACCCCGAGCTGGAGGTGTACTACGGTGGGATCGGTCAAGGTGGCGGGCTTCACGTTGACGTCGCCGTCCGTGTGCGTTCCCGACACACGCTCGAACGCCGTGCCAGCATTGCAGTGCTGTCGGGAGAAAGAGACCGCCCGGTGTCAGTGACCGCGGGGCGAGAAAATGGAGCGTGCGGACCTGTAGTTCGTAGCGCTCCACCCCACCCGCTTCGTCGCCCAAGAACCTCGCGGCAGGGCGCGCCTGCTGGCGTGTGTGCCACGCGTGACGAGCCGTACCGCCGCCGTCGTTCAGGACCGGCCACCAGCGTGCGGAACGGTGGACGCGTATCGGAATCGAAGTCGACGAGCGTCGTCGTGTTGTCGTGTTGTCGCCGGTGAGGGTGACGAGCAACGGGTGTCGTCGACGAGGAAGAAGCGATTGCGCGCGAAAGGCACACGCGCAAGTCCGTGTACATCAGCGCAACGCCCGCTGCGTGGTGTGGTCGATTACGCCCTCGCCGAGCGGCGTGAACGTTTCTTGCCAGCCGTATAGCCCGTCTGCCAACTGTGAGGGGAGCCCGGGCCAGTCCATCTGGATGGTGTCGTGTCTTCGTTTGAGGTACCGCCAATCGAGACGGAGGCAAGCATCAATGCATCACTAGCCGGTGTGGAGAGAGCTTGCCGGAGATGCTCGCGAGGGTGAGCCGCACGCCTTTAGGGTACGCGAGGGGCAGATAGAGGTTGGGAAGGATGGACCCGGAGGTGCCGAAGTCGAGTCGAGGGTGAGTTTGAGAAGCTTGTGCCATACGCTCACGAGAGAGTTCGGCGAATAGATATTGTCGATGCCGCGGTCAACGTCCAATGCGCAACTTTCAGCGCGCAAGAGGTGCCGTCACTGGCGGGTAGAGCGTAAAAGGTTGGCCCTGGATGAGTACAGCAACGTCTGGTGATGGTCTCAGGACTCACTCGAAACCGCCGAGGTACTTGCACTCGACCTCCTCGATGACCACCGATTCCCTGCGAGTCTTGCCGACGATCTTCGCCGGGACGTGATGCTGCGCGCAGAGCGCGGCTTGGTCATGCTCGCATGGACTAGCTGGACGAGTGCAAGAGTGGTCTGGGAGGGCGACGCGGAGGGTGGGATAAGACCGGCAGCGACGCCGTGCGGACTGTCCACGGTCGGACGTGCCCGCGTGAACAAGCACGGCGCGTGCGAGAGGGAGGAGGGCAAGGTGGACGGGGGTAAAGCAGAGGTGGAGAGCACAAAAAACGGGTGTACTCACCGAGCTAGTGGTCGCCGCAACTCACGGTGCACACACCAACACCCTGACCCCCGCACGCCGCAGTTCTCCAGAGGGTGGCAGGCCGGCGGCGAAGGAGGAACGCGGCACCGGGCGCCCGCGATTGGGTGCTCAGGTGCGCGGCGGAGGGCGCGAAGCGGGGGAGGCGGATGGACGAGCCTCTTCACGTCCGGAAGGACGTCCTCGCATGTTGTGCGTGTCGTGGGCGCCGCCAGGAGGATGGGCGAAAGAGATGGCTGGCACCGGGTGTCGCCGGACGCCTGAACGGGGTGCGAAGCGTGAAACGAGGGAGAGAGAGAGAGAGAGAGAGAGGAAAATGGTGCGCAGGTACCGCTCGCGGTCCCGCTTCCGACCGAGGCGTAACTCCGCTGGCGCCTATCCCTGGCGGCGCACTGGGTCATGCTCGCGAGCATCGTGTGGGTGACCGAGGGGTAGAACTCTGCAGAGTCGAACGCGAAGACGGACGCGCAGGGCCATCCCACACGCCCACGTTTGGCGAGTGTGGTGCACGAGCATGAGCCCAGCGTCGACCGTAGCCCTCTCCTTCGTCCCGCGGAACTGCCAGGCGGAGTTTGCGCCGGTCAACGCATGCGTCTATAACATGGGTAGGCTGTATTTTCTCTTCAGCTCACCTTCCGTTCACTCCCCGTCCTCCTCCCCAGCCACGTCCCCGCTCACATCCCGTCTCGCAAGATCCGGCGCTCAGGGAAACTCCATCCCAATCAGCCTCACTATGCCGCCCTCGCCGACCGTCTCTGCCAAGCATTCACTGCCCCGCGCTCCGGTACGCACAGACTTGAATCACCCAATGACGCGAACAACCGGCTGATGTGACACTCACACTCAGACCTCGGCGCATTTGTCCATTCAACAAGCCTCAGACACGGCTCGTCTCCCTGAAGATACACCCTCCTCCGTGACGCTGCCAGTATGCTTATTTTTCTCTTTTCGGAAGCTAAAATTGGCTCACACAGTTCGACCAGGCGAACACGTCCCTTGACAAAGTCTGCGTCCTGCTGAAGGAGATTCTCGACGAATTCAAGAAGGTATCGTGTGATCGTTTCCACGTCCCTCTCGTACGCTTACCGTTGATAAGCGCCCACAAGCGGCAGAAGAAGGGATCAGAACGGAACATAACACCAGCGGGATTGAACCCGTGAGTATATCGTTCAATTTCTGCCAGAGAGAGGTTCATGGGTTGCGCAGACTCGTATCGGACCGTTGCTAGCAGCAGGAAATACACAACTGCCCGATATCAATGATGGTATGAAGGTACGTCCCAGATCTCACTCGGCTGCATCAAGTTATGCTGAACGTTCCGAATGATCGGTGCAGCAAACGTCTAACAAGTACAAGCAGCCGGAGATCGATGCGGCATGGAACGAGACGAGAAAGACGGCGGAGAAGTACAGCGACGAGCTCGTCGACCAGTGGAACAAGGAGATCGACGGCCTCTTGACCTTTGTACGTGTCGACCTTCGTGCCTCGGCAGTGACACTCACCCGCGATCACTCAGGACGGTCTGTTCTCCGCCGCTCTCACCGCATTCAACACCATCGCCTTCGCAATGCTCCAGCCTCAACAAAGCGATCAAACCAACGCGATCCTGACCCAGGTCTCTGCGCAGCTGAAAAGCTTTGCGCTCAATCCCTCCTTCGTCAACTCCACCGCCTTGGCGTTCGGGGACATCGTGCCGACCCCCTTTCGTCCCGAGACCTGGGTCGTGTGGGTGAATGCGCTCTGGTTCACTAGTCTCACCTTCAGCTTGTCGTCCGGGACGATCGGAATCATGGTGAAGCAATGGCTCAAAGAGTACAACACCGGGCTTTACGGGTTCTCCGCACCAATCACACGACGTCGAATCTACCGGCTCTCGAACCTCAACAAGGCGTACATCCCTTTCATCATCTCGCTTGTGCCACTTCTCCTTATCGTTGCCGTCATTCTGTTCTTCGCCGGCCTCCTCGTCCTCCTCTTCCACTCCGACGTCCACGTCTTTGCCGCCACTGCAACGCTCGTTGGGATGCTCCTGCTTTTCATCATCGCACAACGATCATTCCCTCGATGCATCCATCGATGTGTTACTTTTCGCCTCAATCCAGGGCCTTCCATTCTCTCTGGAGTGTCATTCTCAGTTTCTACTCGCTCATTTATTGTTCAATCATACCTGCCCTCCGCTCTTTTTCTCGCACCCTCTACCAGAGCGATTGGGGCTACCTTGAAACTGCTACCGTTGGGCGCAGACAGACCTTCCACGACTTTGCATTATCGCTGAGGTTTCCAGAGCCCAACACTGTATGGAAAGGCGACGAAGAGGCTGTTATCTCACAAAACGCAACCGATCTCGACGCCCAGACGGTCCACTGGGCGTTGGTCAGCTCTCAAAACACGGGCATGGCGCACACGGCTGCGATATGCCTATCCGGCGACCCACGGTTGCAAAGTCGTATCGGGACTGGACCTTCAAACGCCTCTCAGACCTCTACGGGTCTTGGCGACAATGGCCAGACTTCATGGTCAAGATGCTTACGATCCCCGTCTTGCACGGCCAATTCTCTGTCGAAATGCTAGAGAGTGGAGAAGACCAGAACGCCAACTCTCCAAGAACGCCTGCTTCATCTGAGTTTAACAGACTGCGGTCCAACTGCTCGTCAGCGTGCAAAGAACGGTCGAACCTGCGAGTGCAGACTCAGAATGGGAAACTCTGCGGGGCAACGACGCGTTCCAGATGATCCACGACGCTGGAACTTTGCAACTCGGTGCGTCTGCGACTTCACCTTCAACCCCGTCAACTTCAGGGCGCTCATCGTGACCGCAGCTGCCTTTGCGGCAGCCCACCGGATGCAAACACTCGTCAGCGACCGTAGCCTCCGACGCGCAGACCCGCCTTCTCAAGACGTCCTCACAGGGGAGCTCCAGTTCATGTACAGGCATATCGACTCCATCTGGCAACTCGTCGAGCACTCGGCGCCCAGGATTCGTGAGTGCGACGGCATCGCTGCGATCCAGCCGTTCGTCGCGCACGCGTTCTCCTCCTTCGAAACGCTCCTCAACACGATCGACTGGTCGCTGCCTGTACTACTGGACGACACCTGCAACTGGTTCTGCGGGATCCTGATCGACATGCACCAACTCCACTCCCGTTCCCCAGACGGCATACGCTATCTGGTCACACCGTCGCTCGTTGCGGCACTCGAGCACGCATTCATACAGCTCGTTGGAACGGAGGATTGGCGTCACATGGAGCCGCAGGGTGGTTGGGTGGGCATGTGCAAAATTCGCCTCCTCAATCTCACGTCGAAGGTCCTGCCGTGCCGGGCCCCTCCACCGGACGTGTCGTCTGCCGCTGCAGATCCTCACTCGGAGAAACACAACGACCAAGCTGCGGAACCCGAGCTCGTATCCGTCCTTCATTTGTGCGATTCCCGACGCTGACCCCGTCTCACAGCCCTGCGGATTCTCCCGTGGTGGACGCCGCTGCCACTCCACACGAAATGCCCATGACGCCCGACGCAGCTTCTGCCACTTCGCCAGCAGCACCCACGGATATACCGCGCACACCTTAGATTTTCGTCGTGCGCGTCTTCATGCGATGGTGTTGCATGTGCAGGGCTACGGAGGACGTGGGGTGACTGGTCCTGGGCTTCATTCTTTCGTGTACGTCTATATGGCGAGAACAGAGAACATATTCTACAGAATAGCTTGTGATGGCAATCAGATGCGAAATTTCATCCTCCAGCTCCGCTTCCTCTCGAGTTAGAAATGCTGGTCCTGGTTGAAGTGAACGAGGTTACAACATGTCATCTAAGGATACGAGCAAACAAGTACGCGATGCGGGCTGATTACATGCCAGCCATCCTCCGTTGTTTCGACGCCAGCGTTCCTCCACTGCCCAAGTCGCTGTTCTGACATCCGGCACTGGAATCAGAATAAGACATAAGCAATTTTCCACCAACGGGGGAAGCAGGGAAGGCACTCACGGTGATGGTATACGGGGAACGGCGCACCTCACAAGCCTGCTGAACAACCTCACGCGTCTTCGGCGGTCCGAGCTCATCGTCAAGGAACTCGTCTGCCTCGGCCCGCGCCCGGAGGATATCGCCGGCGTCGATGTATACCCGGTCCGTCAGGGGCGATTCGAGGAGCTCGTGAGACGAGGTTGTTTCCGATCCCGGCAGCCAGAAATGTGCTCAGTCTTTCGGGTCGCTGGGGGACGGCATGGGTTTCGGGGAAGACAGGACAGAGAGAGGAGCACGTACAAGGGGCAAGGTTCCGGAAGGCAGACAAGGGGAACGTAGATGTCGTCAAAGATGCGACAGTGACTACGCGCGAGTGAGCTTCGGGGCGCGAGAACAAGGCGGAATAGACGGACGTCGGACACCGTCCTCATCCGAGGACTTGATCTTGGTGAGGATGGCCTCGGATCCAAAGGGACGGAAGACGCAGAGAATTAGTAGTCATAGTGTGAGACAGACTCACCGATCTTTGTACCACAGATATCCATCTCAGAGCCGCACCTTGCCCTCCGCTACCCCCACGAGGTCGAAGACGCGTGTGCACAGACCGACGGCGTGCAAGACGCGTCTCGCGTGAACCTCGTTCAGCTGATTGGTGATAGCCTGTTCTGGAGGTATGTAGACGAACTGTGCCGGATCTACAGCGACTGCGTCCTGTCGGGTTCACGTTAGACATTGTTGGTTGCAAAGGAAGAGGCACGGACCTTGATCACGGAGAGCTGGAACGTAGATGGCAGGACTCGATGTTCTTCTCGAAGCCCGGACGCGTGCAAGTACGAGACGGGCTCAGAGAGCGCGAGGTGGTGTAGAGGGTGGGGAAGGCGAGCTCGCTCGACGCGGAGTCGTCCTCCTCGCGTGCATGACGCAATCGAGCGCCTGCGGTAACGCCTCTTTCGCCCAGCGCTTGGCGCTTGCTGACCAGCCTTGGACTGAGTCCACCTCCGTCCAGCGCTCCTAACCGTAGCCGGAATTTACTCTGGTCCATGCCTTGTGCGTCGCCCCCAGACCATCTACTCGAGCCCGGCTGCAATTGTCCAGCCGTACAAAGGGTATGCACAATAAGAGTCACTCGCGTAAGCCTCTCCCGCTGTATGTGTCGCTCATCTCGTCCCGGATAGGTACCCACCGACGGTGGAGGAAACACAGCCTGAGCTCGAGGCGCAGGTGGCGACCCAGCTCGTGTCCCAGGCGGAACACCCGGCCGACGACGACTGGCGGGGCGTGCCCCTCCCCTACACCTCCGCGAACCCACACTTCAAGCGCATCGCGCACGTACCGGCTCGGGCGCAAGCCCCGCCCCAACGACGTTGTGCTCCAAAAAGGCTCACGGGGGATCAGTGCGTTTGCGCCTGCTCCTGTGTGCACCTCCCCAGCTGACTGACGCGACCGCCCGCAGGCGGAACGCGCTGCTCGATCGAGTGGGACGGGGACCACTCTGCGCGGGCCGCGCCGCGATGCCTTCCCGTCCCTCCACCTCCGTCCAGCGCCCCCACAACCTTGACTAGAATTTACCTTGATGCACATCTGGCGCGGCGCCCCCAGATCATCCATCCGACATCTGTTGCAATCCACCCGCCATAGAAAGGGTATGGGCGCACTGAACTATCCCTGACGTGTCACGGCGACGTCATCGCCAGACTCACCTCCCGCGTACGCCTCTGCGGCTGTATGCGCTCGCCTCTCGCTGATCTCCTCCTGGATTGGTACCCACCCACGACTAGTGTTGCCCACGGGTCGGGTATACCCGTCGCGGGTACGGGTATATACCCGTGCGGGGACGAGTACGGGTGGAGACAGACGTACCCGCGCTCTACCCGCACCCCTACCCGTACCCGCACCACCCGCATGTGTTATAAATTTTGTACCGAAGCTTTGGATGCATCCTTTTCTGTTCGCCCCGGCTTTCGGAGCATTTGAGAAGCCGCACCGGCATCATGCACACTATAGGCTAGCAGACGGCCGTCCACGGTCCGGTGTTCTCGGGCGCTCATAGGCGCTCATGAAAGCGATGCAAGTGCAGGTGGATGTATTCAAAAATACGAGCTCCCCCTTTGAATCAGGGCTTGCTGAAGAATTTCGGCATATCAATGAACATAATGCACACATAAAAGTGTTACCTTTGTAGTGTTTTATGCGCTGTGAGGTGGTGCACAATTCAAACCAAGTGAGCACTGATACTTCTGATGTATCAGCACAGGGAAAACACGTTCTCTACACGCTTTAGATCGTACCTGACTATCATGTGGGGTGTCTGTCATGAGCATAGGCATGTGAGCATTTATCTCACTCCGTATTTGCTCGATTTGTATTCTTTCTGAGTGCCAAGGTGAGCTTATTGCCAATCCATGGACAGCACAAACAGAGTGTGTGCATATGACGTCATTTTTCTGTGCATATCTTCCTCATGTTTAGCATGAGGCATAATAATTTGCGATGCAGGAGTATCAGAGAGAAGAACCAGAGTCTGATTACCATACACGAGGCTTAAATCCCTTCCATTTCAAGCATCATGGTTAGCCACATGTTCAAAATGCGTGTTTGTCTCAGCACAGGCTGAATCATTGCTTTGATGCGCTCAGGAGCATTGGCCGAAGATCTCCGGAGCTCTGTTGCGAGAGCCGTGTTCTTATGACATATTTTGGTCCTCATCTCAGGTATTTAAGCGATTGAACCGTCAGTCTGAGGTGCAGGACGTCCTCCATATCATCTCCTACTCACTCAAAACATTGAACCCTGTCTAGTACTGTCGTTCTCCTCTAAATCGCTTTTCTGGTTTCTGAATCCCTTCCAGATCACTATGCCCCCATCTGTCGAACCTTCTGTCGCTGCCAAACCCACGACAGAGTCCTCCACTGCTGTGTCTGACAAGCGCAGACGTTCTGGATCAGATGGTAAACGCAACAAGAGGCAGAGACGCGATAAATCAAGGCAAACGGACTCACATTCCCTGAAAGACCCGGAGATTACTGGTGAGATTTTAGGCCGTGTCGCTGTTGAGTGTAATCTAACATTGCCTGTTCACAGAGACAGCTGGCGAAAATTCCGTCAGTAAGTCTAGCAAGCGCAAGACACCGGAAGAATGCATTGCAGAGGCTCGTAATCGTCTCGGTAAGTGTTTACACTCTTTGTGATGCGTTTGTGTCCTTACTATGAACCCACAGAGGCCCTCCAGAAGCGACGAGACTCTGCTGTATACTCCTTTTACAAGGAGGATGTCAAGGCGGTGTGTAAGGACGGCCGTCCATGCCTTGTATTTTGCTGTGTGAAATGCCGTCAAGATCAGAACAGGTTTCTTGACACGGCTGACTCCAGCTCACCCGGGAACCTGTGGAAGCACGTTGAAGCGTGCTTCAATGCCGATGTGGTCAAACTCGCCAAGAAGAGCAAAGACCATGCCGCTCTTCGCGTCGCTGCAAAGGTATTCGCCACGGACGGCGATATTAGTCGCTTTTTGAAGACACCGGACGGCTCGGCACCGAAAAAGACTTCTCTGACTCCAAGCCACAAGCCACTGACAAAGATGCAGACGAGGTGAGTACCGCAAGCTTCTTACTAATATATCTGGCCAATTAATATACTGAATAGAGCCGTCACTGCCCAATGGGTGTGTGAAAACCTTCGCTCAATCAGCATTGTTGAAGATGACGGCTTCAAGACGCTAATGCTGTCCGGACGTCCTGGATTCACTATCCCGTCTCGCATGACGGTTTCTCGAGATATCCAGACACTGTTCAAGCGTACAAGGGAGCGATGGGCGGATTTCTTCAAGGTATTTGCATGTGTTCAGTCGAGACCTTCACTCACACAATCTCAATGCTTCCACAGACGCACCAGGGACGCGTCAGCCTGGCGACAGACTGCTGGACGTCACCCAATCACCGCCCTTTCATGGCTGTTACTGCTCATTTCGAGCGGGATGGGAAGCGTGTTCAGATACTGCTTGACATTGTGGAGGTCGCAAAGGTGTGTTCAATCGCATTCTCTCTGTGTGCACGCGTTTGAATCGGGTTGTTTAGTCTCACAGTGGCGAGAATCTTGCTAAGGTATTCCTCGAGATTCTTTCAGACTTCAATCTGCTCAAGAAGGCGAGTTCAGAATAGTATGAGTGCCTTGGATATTCTTGCTAAGACCTCCCAACAGCTGCTTGCTATTATCTGTGACAATGCGTCCAACAATAATGTCATGATACAGAAAATGGAAGAAGCAATCGACTCCTTCCTTGGTGGCCGTGCTCGAGTCCGGTGCCTCTGCCATGTGGTCAATCTCGTTGCTAAGTCTATCATCTCTGTATTCGACACTGCTCCAAGTGTCGAGAAGTCGGACAAGAAGTCGAAGAAGTCCGATGACGACTTGGAGGAAGACTCACACCTCACCGACATATTTTCATCTATGACAGATGACGAGGTGAAGAAATTCCGGGCAAGCGTTGAGCCTGCCAAGAGCGTGATACATAAGGTATGGTTTACTCCTTGGAATAGCTCTCAGTTCTAATCGCTTTCAAGCAGCTTCGTCAGATCTCCTTCGCAATTATAAATTCTCCGACGAAGCTTCTTCCAGCATGGAACGAGATTCTTCGAGATCTCCAGCTTCCTCCCCGGATGCTGCCTCGAGATGTTCGCACTAGGTGGCACTCAACTGGAGATATGATTCATCTCTCGCTCAAATATCGTGCTGCTGTGGACCGGCTGACCTCAGACAAGACAAACGATCTGCGACACCTCGAGATCATCAGGAAAACCTTAACGAGCTAATTAGCTCTAGGCTAACTAGCACTAGCACTATCGACTTAGCTATTCATGCTAGCACACTATGAACAGCTAGTCATACTATTTGATCACTATGTTTCACCTCTCGCAACTATGTAGCTAGTCGTTCTGTTGCCACAGCTAGTGGATCTAAATCAAATCTATTTGTACCGGATCTGAACTAATGTCTAGCTACTCGTCGTGCGCCTCTCCCGCCCCGTCTACATGGTCTTCGTGCGCCCAGCCAGGCCATGGTGCGCTCCGGCACGAAGGGGGCCATGGTGCGCACCTCGCGGCGAGTCCCGCAGCAAGCGTGCAGAGTGTGCCGGGCATGTAGATGCGCTCGACGCCGTCGCCCGCGCCGTCGAGTGCGATCGCATGCTGGGGTTTCGCGGGGCGTCCGCACGGTCCCGCTGTGCGGCGTGCTCGTGCTCGCGCTCGCGCTCGGGTTCGCAGAGACGGGGGCTGTCGTGATCACGGTGCTCGCGACGGTGCGCGCGCAGCCCTTGGAGCGCGCGGGGGTGCTCGCGGTCATAGTAGGCCGCACGGTAGTAGCGCTCGAGGCGGCAGCGTACGGCCTTGTCGCGGAGCGCGAGCATGGCGGCGGGCAACACAGATCCACCGGAGGAGGGCGCGGAGGTCGCTGAGCACCGGGAGGGTGACGAGGAGGCAGAGCGCGCCACCGAACTGGGGGACGGCTCAGCTGGAGGCGCGAGCGGGGAGCGGGAGGCTGGGTGACGGCGCGAGGAGGGCGCAGCGAGAATGACGCAGACGAGATGGGCTAGGCGGGCGACGCGGATGCGGATGCGGGGGCGAGACAGGGTGAGGTGGCGAGGTGGGCAATGCGGGAACGAGGTGGGCGGCGCGATGAGATGGGCGAGATGGGCGATGCAGGTAAGGCGGGGCGACGCGGGTGATGTGGGCGACGCAGGCGATACGGGCGACGCGGGCGAGGTCATCGAGGTGGGGCGACGTGGGACACAGGCCAGGTGGGTGAGGTAGGGGCGAGATGGGCGACGCGGACGCACGTGACGTGACCCGTGCGATGTGCGTGAAATGGGCGAAACAGGCGAGGTGAACGATGTGATCGTGAGACGGGCAGGGGAGGAGAGGATGTGTAGGAAAAACGAGAGCTCACCATAATGAACAACGACTTCATGGCCAGCGCCCTCGAAGACGTCCTTGAGGGAGAGGAGGGGGGTGGGGAGCCAGTGGGTCTTGTACGCATGGAGCGCGGGAGGCTGGCGTGGTCGGCATAGAAGAGGAGCAATTGGAAAACGGGAAGACGATGAGGACAATGGGGACGACAAGCTGGTACTGGCAGTGCCACACAACGGGAGACTCACCAAAACATAGGGGCCCGCAACAGCTCATCGAGGAAGCGGCAGGTGAGGAGAGCGTTGGCTTGTTCATCGAGGATGTTGCGCCAGGAGGAAAAGACGGGAAGGACGAGGAGGACAGGGTGCTAGTGGGCGAAGGGAAAGACGCGCTGGCAGGTCCAGACACGTGGGAAACGACGCACGTCGCGTGGACTCCAGCGCTTGGCACTGCCAGCACTCTCCTCGTCGTTGTCCTCATCGTCCTCGTCGTCCTCTGGCCTCCCCTTGCCTGTCTCGTCATCGCCCGTCTCGCCCTCGCCCGTTCTGCTCTCTCCCTCCCCGCCACCTTACCCATGTCAATCCGCGTCATCCGCGTCGCTGACTTCAAGCTTTACCCATCTCACCTGCGCCCCACGCCTCGCCCGCCTTGTCCGTCTTGTCCGCTTGGCCCGTCTCAACCCCCTGGGCCTTCGTCCACCTCACCTGTGTCGCCCACCTCGCTCGCGTCACCCTGGATCTCGCTCATCTGCACGCGCTCGTCTCATCTGCCTCACCCATCTCGCCCACCTCTCTCACCCATCTCGCCCACCTCTCTCACCCATCCCGCCCTCGCCCGTCTTGCTCTCGCCCGTCTGCACCCGTGTTATCCACCCCGCCACGTCGCCCACTTCATCTGCCTCGCTCTCGTGTTGTACGTCACCCATCTCGCTCACCTCGCCCACGTCTACTGCCCCGCTCATTGCCCTCCTGCGGCCGAGGATGGTCGCCGCTTCGCCCATCTCCCGCGCGTCTCGCGAACGTGGGCGTGGCCCTGACCGTAACAGTAAGTGCCCTATGCATCCACTCTGCCATGCAATTCCTGACCCCTCCTCACGCGCACGCGCACCACTGACGTTGGAATCCCCATATCACCACCTCGCCCACGCCGTCGCCGCCTCTCGCCTGCGTCACCTACCCCGCTCGGCTGATCATCTGTGAGTACTACAACTCCGTCTCCGCTATCGCGCACCCCACGCTGACGCTGACGCTGCCTCACGCTCCCACAGGCAAGTGCGATATCCACGCGGAGATGCGCTAGATGCGCTGCACGTACACGAAGGACAACGTCAGCCCTGAGGACGGTGCCCGATCACGACAAGGAGGAAGGCGCTGTCTGAACACGTGCGCAAGCTCCAGTGCCTCCATCACCCCCACACTCGTCCAGGTAAGCAGCCCCCTTGCACACGTCGATCTCATCTCACTGTGCAGTCGCTCACACGCTTGTTTAAGCTCACGGCCAAACCGACGCCCGTTCGCCCACATCGCCTATGTCACCCACGTCCAAACCCGCATCTCCCGCCTCACCGTATTGCGCCCGGTTTGGGCATCTCCCGCACATCGCCCCGTTCGCTGCCACATCACCTGCCTCTCATCCGCATCGCCCACATCGTCCACCTCGCCCGTTTGCCCAATTCACTCTCGACTCGCCCACATCACCCGTGCCGCCTGCCTCGCCCTTGTATCGCCCATGTCGTCCGCACTGGGCACATGCAGAGAGGCTGTATTTCTCCATAAGTAGTGCCCGTGCCGTTGCTTGTAGTCTACTTTGTATGTTGTAGCATGATAAATATAAATTTGTTTGACTCTCCTATATGCTTGTGTGACCAAACCTACAGTTGCTCTATCTGTCTATCTAACTTGCAGCTAGGCACTCTATTCAGCCATCTACTTCAGAGCTAGGGGCTCTAATCACCCGTCTACCCAGTAGATAATGGGGCTAGTAATCTAATTAGTTCAGGGGTAAAATAATTAGCACTAATGAACTATCCGCATCTAGTCAGCTAATTAGCACTATTTTAGATGACCTAGAGCTAATTAGCTGGTTAAGGTTTTCCTGATGATTGACCCAACCGAATGGACAATGGCTGAGGATATCAAGAACGCTCTTCAGGTCAGCCCCTACGTTTTTTGCCACTCTTTATGCTGTACTTACATATGCGCTAGATACTGAAAGATGCGACACTGTTTTTCTCTCGGAAAGAAGCAAACTTGGGCCACGTTCTCGCCTCCATGGAACACATCCGGACGACACTCCAGGGAGACAAGAAGAATTACAGTCCCGCCATTTCCATGGCTTTCAAGGCCGGTCTCAAGACGTTTGAGAAGTACTACTATCTGACAGACTCGTCGGACCTGTATCGCATCGCAATGGGTGTGTTTCTTTCTTTGTGGAGTTCTGTCATTGCTGACGAATATTTCGCAGTACTGAATCCACGCTACAAGCTCTCGTACGCGCAAACGGACCTGAAATACACCCAATCATGGGTCACCAAGACTAGACAGCTGGTTCGAGCGGAATTCGAGAAGAATTACGCCTCTCTTGACGTCCCAGAACCGTCCGACGCGTCTGATGATGGTGCGGCTGTGGGCAGCGCCGAGAAGAAGGTCAGTATAGTACGCTGTTTAATTCGCGGATATGCACTCATTACTTTATGGTTCAGAGTCCCGAGAAGCCTGTCAACACATTCGATGCGCTTCTGGACTCTCAAGCGTCTTCTTCCAAGCAGAGGTCTCGTCAGGAAGATGAGCTCGACAAGTACTTGCGCATTTCGAGAGAGAAGAACCTCAAGGACGCGTTTCAATGGTGGCAAGAGCACAGATTCGACTACCCAAGACTCTCTCAGATGGCCCTTGACTATCTATCTATTCCCGGTGGGTCTGACACATTATCGGACACCTATTACAGTCGTTCTTACATTAAATCTAGCTGCATCCATAGATCCCGAGCGCGTTTTCAGTACTGGCCGCATTCTCCTCTCGCACGTACGAAATAGGCTATCTGCGTCTTCAACTCGAGCAATTTTGTGCCTTGGAGACTGGAGCAAGCAGGGCTTCGTTGATTCGACTGACATTGATCATGTGGCCGCGCTGCAGGAGGTTGAAATAGCTGACAAGGACGATAGCGACGCTGAGGAGTTTATTGAGGACGATTCCGACGCTTCCTACTATGTGTAGAATTATTATACATGTTCCTCACTCGTGGAGTCTCTTCTATCTATTGTACTGTTTCGTCCGAGCACATACCCGTATCCTCCAGCCTCCTACCCGTGAATACCCGTACACGTGTCAGACGGGTACGGGTATTCTACGGGTCGAGTACGGGTACACAGATTTTACCCGTACCCGACCCGTGTGCAACACTACCCACGACAGGGCAGATAGCGCCTCGAGACACAGGCGGCGACCCTGATCGTGTCCCAGACCGAACACCCAGCCCACGACGACGACTTGCGGGGCGTGCCCATCACTCGCAACACCGCGAACCGGAACATCAAGCGCATCCACCTCTTCAAGGTGCAGCGCACGTACCGGTTTGGGCGAAAGCCCCGCCTCAATGTCACTGTGCTCGACACAGGCTCGCGGGCCATCAGTGCGTCTGCGCCCGCTCCCTCGTGCGCCCGCCCGTCTGACCCACGCGCCCGCCCGCAGGCAGCACCCACTGCTCGATGGAGTGGGACAGGGACCACTCTGCACGACCGCGGTCAAGGTCACCGACTTTTCGATGAACAGCACCGTTCGCGAGTGCGCGATTTCCCGGCACCGCACCGCACCGCTCGCTGACGACGCCCTCCAGATCAGCTTTGACGAGCTGAGTATGCAGATCCGGTGATGGAACTCGTCTCTGGCGGGAGACTTGCTGAAGTGTATCACCAACACGGACCGCGGGCTGCGTGCGCCTCCGCCTCGTTTGCTGCCTTGGTATATGCGCTGACTGTCATCACAGCGGACGCGGATCACGTACCAGATCTGGGACGCCCTATCGGTAAGCACCTCCCACCTTACCGCCTCATTGCTCTCTGATCACGGTCTGCAGCACGTGCATGATCAAAGGATCGTACACTGTGACCTGGAGCCAGAGAATATTCTCCTGACGGACCCGCCCAACGTGAAGATTTCCGATTTTGGGCTAGCGAAGGCCAGACAATCTTCAAGGGGAGCATCTATCGCGAGCCGGCGTTCCTCGTCGCTAACACACGCAGCCAGAATTTCTGCGGCACCCCAATATACCTCGCGCCTGAGGTGGCCGTGCTCGACGCGTTCCCCGCACCGGACGGGTACTCGAACCTCATTGACAGCTGGCGTGATCGTCTTTGTGTCCGTTCGGGCGCCGCGATCGATGCAACGCCCTGACCAGTGTCTCTCATCAAACTTACGCAGGGCACCCTATTTGACGCAAACTCGCCGAACACAGGTGCACTGGGCGCTCTTGTACGAGTACGAGCAGAGTGCGTGCCCCCTCCTTCTTCCTCGTCACGCGAGCTGAGCGCACACACAGCGGAGCGGTTCATCCGCGCGCTCCTCGCGTCTTCGCCGACCAAGCGCATGCCGCTCACCAGCGCGCTGGACCACCCATGGCTCACGACCTCAGCGCAGGACAAAGGCGCGCCCCGGCCGCTCCCCGCGACCCCGCCCGCGCTCCACACGCTCCCCTCTTTCCCCTCCGTCGCGGACGGCTCGGCGGCGGCGGTGGCGGAGCCCGCGCACACCCCGCCGCCCGCCGCCCTGCTGATGGAGCTGCGAAAGCTGCCCGGGACGGCGTCGCTGCTCCGCATGGACGGCGAGCAGACCGCGGGGGACCCGTGCGTGTCCCTTGAAGACCCGAGCCTCATCCTCGCCGTGTACCCGCCGTCGCCTGAGCGCGCAACGACCCCGGTGTGCGGTGCTCCGCCGACGACGGAGTCAAGGACGGCCACGTACTGGCGAGCCCGCGGTCGGCCGCGAGCGAGGGGAGCCAGCGCAGCAGGCTCCAGCGGCGGTCGGAGGTGCTGTCGCGGGCGCAACGGGAGGGCGAGGCTCCAGGCGCCGTCGCGCGCAGTCTGAGCCTACAGCAATGCCACCCGTGCTCGCCCTCCCCCGATTGGGTACAAACATGTATTGTTAGAGATAAAAATATATTCATTGGTATGCTACTACAGCGTGGAGAGCGAGGCGGAGGCGGAGGGCGAGGACAACGCAGTGGGGCAGCGGGGACGTGGTGCTGCGCGCCCGCGAGTCGGAGCAGCGCGTAGAGCGCGGCTAGATCGCGCTTGCATGGAAATGGACGTGCGCGAAGGCGAGGCGGGCGCGGGCTGAGGGATGATGGACGTGCGGGCACGTGCGCCGGCGATGGGATCCGAGCCCGGCGGATACGGCAGCGAAGGTGGGCGAGAAACCGTCCGGGCGAGAGGCCGCCACAGTGGACGGGAAGGGGCGGGCGGTGACGGAGAGGGTCCCGTCGTGTTGAGTTCGACGGTGATGGTTGTCGTAAACGTCTCGCTGAAGCACGAGTAGTGAGTGTCGTCCTAAGATTGGGGGGAGCACGAATTGACTCGTCGCGCAGGACGTGTGCGAGAGCTTCATCGGGAGGTTCAGATTTGGGTGGGAAGAGCTCGTGGAAGTGTTTCCAAAAGTATACGTCAGCTGGTATAGACCTCGCAATAAGCGGTGAGGCTTACCGGAATGACTCCTGTCTCGACGTCTCCATCGATAGACGCCTGGTTTCCTGCGAGGGCCCTCAAAAACGTGGTGTTCGTCGACGCGTCGCCCACTCTGTACTTTTCGCGGCTCCCTCATAGCCTCCGTGCGATCGTGCCCATGAGCGATTAGAAGAAGCCATGTTCGAATCCTCGCTCGACACGGAGTGATGGCGCGATGACAACAGACGTGTTCGCGGCAGGCGTGAAGGGAGAGCTGCGTTCCGCCAGAGGCATGCAATGTACAGCCGGCGGAACCGTGAATATGCGAGTAGGCGGCGGTGTGGACAGGTAGGCGAGTTGGCCAGAGTCGGGGAGGAAGTTGCGTGGGTTCTCGGCGTAAAGGTGCGATCCGAAAGCACGCCCGGCGAGTGGTATCGAGGACTGATCGAGAGGAAGGTATCTCCAGCCGCCACCTGCGCAAAAGTCGTGAGAAAAATGCAAGGGTAAAAATAGTCGAATACTTACCTCTAGTTGTCACTCCTGCCGCTTTACCGGGCACCTCCACGAATATACCGCGAGAAAATTCTTGTCGTGCATGGGTTGAAGCGATGCTTTTCGGCGCGCAGGACCACGTGAGGACGTCAAATGACTGGTTTGGAGGGAGTCTGGGATTCGATCCTTCGCATAGTTCTGTATGGTGAGGACAGTGGATGGGATAGTGTTCCCGAAGGATGTGGGCGAACCAGGTGCGGTGTGATTACGCATCAACCTTTGTCCATTGTTTCGACGCCGGCGTTTCTCCACCACAAAACTGGGCCAAGTCCCTGTTCTGACATCGGGCACTGGGACCGAAACCAGACATAAGCTATTTTGGCGAACAGGGGAAAGTAGGGAAGAGACTCACGATGACGGTATATGGGGGCAGGCGCACCTCACGAGCCTGTTGAACGCCCTCATGCGCCTTCGGCTGGTCCAGGCTCATCGTCATGTACTCGTCTGCGTTGACACGGACCAGGAGGACATCGCCGACGTCGATGTACATCCCGTCCGCCAGGGGCGAGTCGAGGAGCTCGTGAGATGAGGTTGCTTCTGATCGCAGCAGCCAGATGTGTGATCGCTCTTTTGGGTCACTGGGGGCGGATGGACATGGGTGTCGGGGAAGACAGGACAGACAAAGGGGCACGTACAAGGCGCAAGGTTCCGGGAGGTAGACAAGAGGGAAGTAGATGTCATCAAACATTTAACAGTGACTGGGCGTGAGTGAGCTTAAGGGCGCGAGAAAAAGGCCTAAAAGACGGACGTCGGACGTCGTCCTCTTCCGAGGAAGCTTGATCTTGGCGAGGATAACCTCGGATCCAAAGGGATGGAAAACGCAGAGCACGTAGTCGTAGCTCCACACAGTGCGAGATAGACTCACTTATTTTTGTACCAGAGCGGGATCGGTCAAGGTCGCGGGCTTCACGTCGATGTCAACATCCGTGCCCGTGCCCGACACATGCTCGAAGGCCGTGCCGGCACCGCAGTGCTGTCGGGAGGAAGAGATCGCGCGGTGTCAGTGACCGCAGGAGAAGAAAATGGAGCATGCGGACCTGCAGTTCGTAACGCTCCACCCCACCCGCTTCGTCGCCCAAGAACCTCACGGCAGGGCGCGCCTGCTGGCGTGTGTGCCACGCACGATGAGCTGTACCGCCGCCATCGCTCAGGACCGTCCACCAGCGTGCGGGACGGTGGACGCGTATCGGAATCGAATTCGATGAGCGTCGTCGCGTCGTGGTGTCGTCGAGGAGGAAGAAGCGATCGCGTGCGACGGCACGCGCGCAGGTTCGCGTCCATCAGCGCAGCGACCGCCGCTCCGTGTGATTGAGTACGCCCTCGACAAGCGGCATGAACGCGTCTTGCTAGCGTATAGCCCGTCCGCCGACCGCAAGGGGAGCCCGAGCCAGTCCATCTGGATGTTGTCGTGGCTCGTTCGAGGTACTGCCAACCCAGACGGAGGTCGAGAATCACGGGCTGGCGTGGAGAGAGCTTTCCAGAGATGCGTGCGAGGGAGAGCGGCATACGAGGGACAGATAGCTGGGTACGGAACGGTGAATCCGGATCCTCTGGAGGCAGTCGAGGATTTCGGGAGCGGGGATTCCGGTGTTGGGGTTCGGCGAGATACCGCGGTCAACATTCAAGTTGCAACATTCAGCAGGTACGAGGTGCCGTCACTGGGGTGTATCACGTTAGACGTGGTCACCGCATGAGCGCAGATGTCTGCTAAAGGTCTCAGGACTCACTCGAAACCGCCGAGGTGCTTGCGCTCAACCTCCTGGATGACCGCCGATTACCTGCGAGCCTTGCCGACGATCTTGGCGGGGATGTGGTGCTGCGCGCCGGCGAGTCGAACGAGCGCGCAGAGCGCGGCGAGGCCGGGCTCGCATGGATGAGCGAAACGCGCGCGAGAGCGGAGTACGGCAAGGCGGAGGAGGGCAGGGCGAAGGGTGGGGAGACCGGCAGCGGGGTGATGGGGACGCCATGCCGCACCCGCGAGTCGGACGTGCCTGCGCGAGCGAACAGGTCCCGCGCGAGAGCGGGGGAGAGCAAGGTGGACGGGGGTCAAGCAGAGGTGGAGAGCACAAAACGGGGTGTACGCACCGAGCCAGCGTCGCCGTACGTAACTCATCGCGACCCCAACATGATCTCATCTCCGAGTGGAGGACGCCCGGGTGGATGCCACCCACACGCCGCAGGTGTCCACCTGCAGGGAGGCAGGCCAGGCGGGCGGAGCAGGAGGGGAGTGCGGCACCGGGCACCGGGCACCCGCGATTGGGTGCTCAGCCGAGGCGGGTGCGCGGCGGAGGGCGCGAAGTGGGGGAGGCGGATGGACGAGCTTGACGTCCGGAATGACGCCCTCGCATATTGTGCGTGTCGTGAGCGCCGCCAGGAGGGTGGGCGAAGGAGATGGCTTGCACCAGGTGCCGCCGGACGCCTGGACGGAGTGTACATCTGAAGCGTGAAATGAGAAGAGAGAGAAGGAGAGGAAAATGGTGCGCGGGTACCGCTCGCGTTCCTGCTTCCCGCTCACCAAGGCGCGTCTCCACTGGCGCCTATCTCTGGCGCCGTGGGTCATGCTCGCGAGCATCGTGTGGGTGACCGAGGGGTAGAACTCTGCGGCGTCGAACGCGAAGACGGATATTCCGGGCCATCCCGCACACCCACGTTTGGCGACTGTGGTGCACAAGCATGAGGCCAGCGTCGACAGTGGACCTCTTCTTCGTCCCGCCGAACTACGACGGGTGCCAGAAGGCATCCAATTTCTGGCCCTCGAATGAGTCCCACCGCCAACATCTTCTCACACATGCTTCCAAGGCAGCGCAGAAGCACGATCGGAAGGTACGCCTTCAACTTCGAGTAGTCGTCTCTCTTGGGCTTGGGAGTCACTGCCTACCGAGACCGCCGACTTCAAGGATTGTAACAGCCAGAACCTAAGTTAGAAATGGGCCCGACGTCAAGGCCCACATCGGATACGCCTCACAGGAGCGCTTCGCACTGCACGTCGTGCACGAGAGCCTTCAGTCGGAGATGTCGATGGATGCTAGGTTCAATTTCCGTTGCCTCGCGGAGTTCGCGCAGTCAGCGCATGCGTCTACTAACATGGGTAGGCTGTGTTTTCTCTTCAGCTCACCTACCGTTCACTCCCCGTCCTGCTCCCCACCCACATCCACTCCCACATCCCATCTCGTGAGATCCGGTGCTCAGGGAAAACTCCATCCCAGTCGCTTCACTATGCCACCCTTGCCGACCGTCTCTGCCAAGGATTCACCCCGCGCTCAGGTACGCACAGACTTGAATCACCCAAGGACGTGAACGACCGGCTGATACACTCACTGCACCCAGACCTCGGCACATTTCATTCAACAAACCTCAGACACGGCTCGTCTCCCTGAAGATACACCCTCCTCCGTGACGCTGCCAGTATGTCTGTTTTTCTCTTTTCAGAAGCTAAAATTGGCTCACACAGTTCAATCAGGCGAACACGTCCCTTGACAAAGTCTGCGTCCTGCTGAAGGAGATTCTTGATGAATTCAAGAAGGTATTGTGTGATCGTTTCCACGCCCCCGGTCTCGTCTGCTCACCATTGATCAGCGCCCACAAGCGGCAGAAGAGGGTATTGGAACGGAACGGAACGTTGGTGGGATTGAACCCGTGAGTATATCGTTCACTTTCTGCCAGATACTAGAGATTCATGGGGTGCGCAGACTCGTATCGAACCATCGCTAGCAGCAGGAGATAAAGACCTGCCGGATAGACACGACAATGTGATAGTACGTCCCGGATCTCACTCGTTTTCACTGTTGATACATGCTGAACACTCTGAACGATAGATCCCACCAACATCGAAGAAGTACGAGCAGACGGAGATCGATGCGGCATGGAACGAGACGAGAAAGACAGTGGAGAAGTACAGCGACGAGCTCGTCGACCAGTGGAACAAGGAGATCGACGGTCTCTTGACCTTTGTACGTCTCGACGTTCGTGCCGAGTCGGCAGTGACCCTTACCCGTGATCCCTCAGGACGGTCTGTTCTCCGCCGCTCTCACCGCATTCAACACCATCGCCTTCGCAATGCTCCAGCCTCAATCAAGCGATCAAACCAACGTGATCCTCACTCAGGTCTCTGCCCAGCTGAAGAGCTTTGCGCTCAATCCCTCATTCGTCAACTCTACCGCCTTGGCGTTCGGGGACATCGTGCCGACCCCCTTTCGTCCCGAGACCTGGGCCGTTTGGGTGAATGCGCTCTGGTTCACCAGTCTTACTTTCAGCGTGTCATCAGCGACGATCGGGATCATGGTGAAGCAATGGCTCAAAGAGTACAACACCGGGCTGTACGGGTTCTCCGCACCAATCACACGACGTCGCATCTACCGGCTCGAGAACCTCAACAAGGCGCACATCCCTGCTATCATCTCGCTTGTGCCGCTTCTTCTCATCGTCGCCGTCATTCTGTTCTTCGCCGGCCTCCTCATCCTCCTCTTCCACTCCGATGTCCGCGTCTTCTCCGCCACCGCAGTGTTCGTTGGGATGCTCCTGCTTTTCATCATCGTCACAACCATCGTCCCCTCGATCAACCCCTCGATGTGTTACTTTTCGCCTCAATCCAGGGCCTTCCTTCCTCTCTGGAGTGCCATTGTCTCCTTCTCCCGGTTCGTTGATATGTCAATACAACTTGTCCTCGTCGTGCTTTGGGTCCCTTTCTTATTCTGCATTCCATTTTTTTCCTGTTCTGAGTCCGAAAATCCCTGGGCGGAAAGAGTGTCCGACTTCCTCCTCTCACTCTCGATGGGATTTCCAGAGCCCACTGTATGGAAAGGCGACGAAGAGGCCATTCTTTCACGAAGCGCAACCAATCTCGACGCTCAGACGGTCCACTGGGCGTTGGTCAGCTCTCAAAACACGGGCATGGTGCACACGGCTGCGATGTGCCTATCCAGCGACCCACAGGTTGCCAAGTCATATCGGGAATGGACCTTCAAACGCCTCTTGGACCGCTACGGGCCTTGGCGCCAATGGCCGGACTTTATGGTGAAGATGTTTACGATCCCGTTGCACGCGTCTGGCGGATTCTCTGTTGAAATGCTCAAGGGTAGGGGAGACAAGGACGCCAGCTCTCCGAGCACGCCCGCCTCATCTGAGTATATCGAGACCGCGACCCAACTACTCATCAGCCTTCTAAGAACTGCTGAACCCGCAAGCGCAGACTCAGAATGGGACAACCTGTTGCTCAGCAACACGTTCCGGGCGATCCGTGACATCAGAATGTTGCAACTCGGTGCGTCTGCGACTTCGCCTTCAACCCCGTCCAAGTCAGAGCGCTCACTCTGACCGCAGCTGCCTTCGTGGCAGCTCACCGGATCCAAATGCTCGTCAGTGACCGTGGCCTCCGACGCGCAGACCCGCCTACTCAAGACGTCCTCACTAGGGAGTTCAAGTTCATGCGGAAGCATATCGACGCCATCTGGCAACTCGTCGAGGGCTCGGCGCTCAGGATTCGCGAGTGCGACGGCATCGCTGCGATCCAGCCGTTCGTCGCGCACGCGTTCTCCTCCTTCGAAACACTCCTCAACACGAAAGTTGACTCGTCGTTGCTCGTATCGCTGGACAACGCCCGCTCCCACTTCTTCGGTATCCTGTACGACATGCTCGAATTCCACTCCCATTCCTCAGAAGGCATCCGCCATCTGGTCACACCTTCGCTCGTTGCAGCGCTCGAGAACACGTTCATACAGCTCGTTGGAACTGAGAACTGGCGTCAAATGGAGCCGGAGAATGTAGATGTGCGCCGGTGCAAACGTTACCTCCTCGATCTCACGTCGAAGGTCCCGCCGTCCCGGGCCCCTCCACCGGACGCGTCGTCTTCCGCCGCAGGTCCTCAACTGGAGAAACAGAGAGACTGAGCTGCGGAACCCGAGCTCGTATCCGTCCTTCATTTGTGCGATTCCCGACGCTGACTCCGTCTCACAGCCCTGCGGATTCCCCCGTGGAGGTGGACGCCGCTGCCACTCCACACGAACTGTCCACGGCGCCCGACGCAGCGACCGGGACCCGACTGCTCGTCAGTATACTAAGAACGGTCGAACCCACGAGCGCAGAGTCAGAATGGGACAAACTGTGGGAAAACGACGCGTTCCAGAAGATCAGTGACGCCGGAACGTTGCACCTCGGTGCGTCTGCGACTCCACCTTCGACGCCGTTGAAGTCAAAGCGCTCACCGTAACCGCAGCTGCCTTCGCAGTAGCTTACCGGATGCAAACGCTCGTCAGTGACCGTGGCCTCCGACGCGCAGACCCGCCTTCTGAAGACGTCCTCACCTGGGAGTTCAAGTTCATGCGGAATCATATCGGCCCCATCTGGGAACTCGTCGAGGACTCGGCGCCCAGGATCCGCGAGTGCGACGGCATCGCTGTGATCCAGCCGTTCGTAGCGCACGCGTTCTCCTCCTTCGAAACACTCCTCAACACGAAAGCTGACTCGTCGTTGCCTGTATCACCGGACAACGCCTGCTCCCACTTCTGCTGTATCCTGGACAGTATACTCGAATTCAACTCTCATCCCTCAGATGGCATCCGCCGTCTGGTCACACCGTCGCTCGTTGCAGCGCTCGAGCACGCGTTCATACAGCTCGTTGGAACGGACGACTGGGGTCCAGTGGAGGCGCATGGTTTCACGCCTGTGCGCAGGTGCCAAGACCTCCTCCTGGATCTCAGGTCGAAGGTCCCGTCGTGCCCTCCACCCGACACGCTGTTTTCCACTAGAGATAATCACCCAGGGGAACACAGCGACCAAGCTGCCAAACCCGAGTTCGTATCCACCCTTGCCATATTTGCGACTCCCGACGCTGACCACTGCGTCTTCAAACAGCCCTGCGGATTTCCTCAGCGCGGCAGTGGACGCGGCTACCAAGGCTCCACACAAAACGTCCACGGCGCACGACACAGCGACCAGGACCCAAATACTCATCAGCCTTCAAACAACTGCTAAACCCGCAAACGCAAACTCAGAATGGGACACATTGTGGTACACCGACGCGTTCAAGAATATCCGTGACGCCGGAACGTTGCAGCTCGGTGCGTCTGCGTCTTCACCTTCACCCCCGTCGAGGTCAGAGCGCTCACCATGAGCGTAGCTGCCTTCGCGGCAGCTCACCGGATGCAAACGCACGTCAGCGACCGTGGCCGCCGACGCGCAGACCCGCCTTCTCAAGACGTCATCACAGGGGAGTTCAAGTTCTTGCAGAAGCATATCCGCCCCATCCGGGAACTCGTCAAGGACTCGGAGCCCAGGATCCGCGAGCAGTGCGACGGCATCACTGCGATCCAGCCGTTCGTCGCGCACGCGTTCTCCTCCTTCGAAAAGCTCCTCAACACGATTGACTGGTCGCTGCCTGTATCACCGGACGACGCCTGCATCTGGTTCGCGTTGACTCTGGAAGACATGCTCCAATTCCACTCCCATTCCTCAGACGGCATTCGCCATCTGGTCACACCGTTGCTCGTTGCGGCGCTCGAGCACACATTCATACAGCTCGTTGGAACGGAGGACTGGCGCCGTCACACGGACTCGTGGATTCCCTGGGTGGACATGTGCAAAAATAGCCTCCTCAATCTCACGTCGAAGGTCCCGCCGTGCCAGGCTCCTCCACCGGACCCGTCGTCTTCCACCGCAGGTCCTCAATCGGAGAAACAGAACGACCAAGCCACGGAACCCGAGCCCGTATCCGTTTCATTTGTGTGATTCCCGACGCTGACTCCCCCGTCTCACAGCCCTGTGGATTCCCCCATGGAGGTGGACGCCGCTGCCACTCCACACGAAATGTCCGTGGCGCCCGACACGGTTCCTGCCACTTTGCCGGCAGCACCCACGGATATACCGCGCGCACTGTTGAAGCGATGGCGTTTCGTGCGCAGGACTACCTGAGGACGTGGGATGACTGTTCCTAGGCTTCATTATTTCGTGTATGTCTGTGTGGCGAGAACAGAGAACACATTCAACGGAATAGCTTGTGATGGTAGTCAAACGCGAAATTTCATCCTCCAGCTCCACTTCCTCTGTCAAGTCACCAATGCTGGTCCTGATTGAAGTAAACGAGGTTGCAACATGTCATCGAAGGATACGAGCAAACAAGTACGCGATGCGGGCTGATTACATGTCAGCCATCGTCCGTTGTTTGGACGCCAGCGTTCCTCCACGGGCCAATTCGCTGTTATGACATCGGGCACTGGAACAAGAACCAGACGTAAGCAGTTTTTCACCGACAGGGGGAGGCAGGGAAGGCACTCACGGGGATGGTATACGGGCAACGGCGCATCTCACGAGCTTGTTGAACGCCCTCACGCGTCTTCGGCGGACCAAGCTCATCGTCATGGAACTTGTCTGCCTCGACGCGCACCCGGAGGATATCGCCGGCATCGACGTATATCCGGTCCGTCAAGTGAGCTCGTGAGACGAGGGTGGTTCCGATTCCGGCAGTCAGAAATGTGCTCGCCCTTTCAGGTCGCTGGGGGGACGGCATGGGTTTCCGGATAGACAGGACAGACAGAGGGGCACTTACAAGGCGCAGGGTTCCGGGAGGTAGACAACGGGGATGTAGATGTCGTCAAGAAATTCGGCAGTGACTGGGCGCGAGTGAGCCTAAGGGCGCAAGAACAAAGCCGAAGAGACGGACGTCGGACACCATCCTCATCCGAGGAAGCTTGACCTTGGCGAGAATGACCTCGGATCCAGAAGGACGGAAGACGCAGAGAATTAATAGTCGTACCTCCACCTAGTGCGAGACAGACTCACCGATCTTTGTACCACAGACATCCATCTCCGTGCCGCACCTTGCCCTGTGGTACCTCCGCGAGGTCGAAGACACGTGTGCACAGGCCGACGCCGTGCAAGACGCGTCTCTAGTGTTGCACACGGGTCGGGTACGGGTAAAATCTGTGTACCCGTACTCGACCCGTAGAATACCCGTACCCGTCTGACACGTGTACGGGTATTCGCGGGTAGGAGGCTGGAGGATACGGGTATGTGCTCGGACGAAACAGTACAATAGATAGAAGAGACTCCACGAGTGAGGAACATGTATAATAATTCTACACATAGTAGGAAGCGTCGGAATCGTCCTCAATAAACTCCTCAGCGTCGCTATCGTCCTTGTCAGCTATTTCAACCTCCTGCAGCGCGGCCACATGATCAATGTCAGTCGAATCAACGAAGCCCTGCTTGCTCCAGTCTCCAAGGCACAAAATTGCTCGAGTTGAAGACGCAGATAGCCTATTTCGTACGTGCGAGAGGAGAATGCGGCCAGTACTGAAAACGCGCTCGGGATCTATGGATGCAGCTAGATTTAATGTAAGAACGACTGTAATAGGTGTCCGATAATGTGTCAGACCCACCGGGAATAGATAGATAGTCAAGGGCCATCTGAGAGAGTCTCGGGTAGTCGAATCTGTGCTCTTGCCACCATTGAAACGCGTCCTTGAGGTTCTTCTCTCTCGAAATGCGCAAGTACTTGTCGAGCTCATCTTCCTGACGAGACCTCTGCTTGGAAGAAGACGCTTGAGAGTCCAGAAGCGCATCGAATGTGTTGACAGGCTTCTCGGGACTCTGAACCATAAAGTAATGAGTGCATATCCGCGAATTAAACAGCGTACTATACTGACCTTCTTCTCGGCGCTGCCCACAGCCGCACCATCATCAGACGCGTCGGACGGTTCTGGGACGTCAAGAGAGGCGTAATTCTTCTCGAATTCCGCTCGAACCAGCTGTCTAGTCTTGGTGACCCATGATTGGGTGTATTTCAGGTCCGTTTGCGCGTACGAGAGCTTGTAGCGTGGATTCAGTACTGCGAAATATTCGTCAGCAATGACAGAACTCCACAAAGAAAGAAACACACCCATTGCGATGCGATACAGGTCCGACGAGTCTGTCAGATAGTAGTACTTCTCAAACGTCTTGAGACCGGCCTTGAAAGCCATGGAAATGGCGGGACTGTAATTCTTCTTGTCTCCCTGGAGTGTCGTCCGGATGTGTTCCATGGAGGCGAGAACGTGGCCCAAGTTTGCTTCTTTCCGAGAGAAAAACAGTGTCGCATCTTTCAGTATCTAGCGCATATGTAAGTACAGCATAAAGAGTGGCAAAAAACGTAGGGGCTGACCTGAAGAGCGTTCTTGATATCCTCAGCCATTCATATACCTCAGTACGTCTATATATATATCGATACCTATTAGGTATCAGATCAAAGGGCATGTGCCATTTCCCGGGCCAGGGCATATGAGTAGGCGGTGGGCCATGCGGTGCCGCCGCCGCAGGCGGCCCCCCGGGCGCCAGGAAAAGACTTGCGTCTGGCGGGATTAGAACCCGGCCCAGCATAAACAAAGCGTAGCTCAACTTTCCAGCTGAGCCACCAGTCCCTTGAAACGGTACATACGTACGGCTATATGTAGCCTACGATACCCCCTCACACACACACTACCAGCACCTGATCCCGCTTATTGGCATGTGCCAAATACGCCCTCGCCGCATGCCAATTGATCCCTCCCTCATGCCCATTACCCACGGCGCTTTTGGCGCTCCCGACCTCGGCGCTCTCTTGGATGCCAATTCTACACTCCCCCGTGCCAATTAACACGCACCTGTCTCCGACGTCGCGCCCCCCTGGTGCCGCCCTCCACCTAACTCACGTGCACCCTGAACGCCCTTGACGTTGCGCTGCAGTTTGTGTCCCACATACCGACATAGTTAGCACGGGAAGCTTGTTTGCGCAGGGCGCGAGGCGCGCGAGGCGCACGAAGGACGCGCACGGGGCGCGAAGGACGCGAGAGTGCGCGAGGGCGCGAGGATGCGCGCGTGCGCGCAAGGGTGCGCGCGTGCGCGCGTGTGCGCGAGGATGCGCCTGAGTCCGAATGTCGGCTGCATTGCCTTGGCCTGTTCTACTCAGCCGCGCCACATTTGATATCTGCTCACCGGCGGGCTCCCCTCCGACCCCGCCATAGATAGCGTATTGTTTCCATCCCCTGGTCCATGTGCTTCGTCGGGCGCCGCCCGAACCGGCTGCGGTGGCACGGGAACGCTGGACCGGTGGCTGCATGCGTTGAGACCGGGAATCTGACTCATGGGGCGTGCCTCGCAGAACGCGATCCGATGTTTTCGCACTTCGGCCAAGTGCACGAGGTTGACATCGAGGGGAGCCGGGCGTAGCCGCTAGCGTGGTCCGGTAGTCGAGGGACAACGAGTGGATGTGAGTTGTAGACAATGGAACAACGCAATTTTGAGAGGCCACAGGAGGCGAGGGAGATCCCAGACGTTCGTTCCTGGTGTGCGCATCGACGGTCATGGGTGTGAGGATGATCCCGGACACAGTGAGTACGCACCTCGCGCTCGCCATACCGCCCGGGACGGCCGAGTGAGGCGGAACGGCTACGGACCGCAGTGGTGGTCCTCGAGCACGGCCACCCCCGCAGTGCCTGGATGACGTGCGGGTCGATCACATCCCGGTTTTATCGGAGACGCGTCTCGCGGGCCGCCGGCGCGTAGTCGTAAGAGCACGGATAGCACGAACCAATCTACGAAACAAATCATTACCAGGCCCTCTACGGCCCTCTACGTCCCTATAAAAAGGGCGCTGGATATCAAGATGCCGACGAAGGAAAGTTGACTTGGGAGGCAACGGCGGCAATATCTTCCCTGCCTGCGCCCTCCGAGCTTTGGCTCTCGCCTTCGCCTCGCGGTTCCGAAGTGTCTTCAGAGTTGAGTCACCTCCTTCGCGTGTCCCTGGAAGCAGAGGAGAGTCTCATGTTGAACTGTCGGTACGTCCGCTCACCTGACTGCCCCCTTGAGGTGGACGGATGTAGAGGGCCTGGATGTGGAGGACACCAGGCGCGTCGCGCGTGCTCGCGCGGGCAGGGTAAACGCCAGGCGCTTCGGGCGTGGAGATGGGTGCGGCGGGCGGGGCGATGGGTGCAGCGGGCGCGAGGGATTCTGGGCGTATGGAAAGGTTACGCATCATGTCCGCAAAGTGGTCGTCGGCGTCCGGCTCCCCTGTGAGTACCTCGTTATCCTCCATGTCATCCTCGGCCTCGTTGGCCTCCAGCAGCCCATCTGCCATGTAGAAGGAGTCGCAAACATGGACAACCTTCGGGTCGCGGAGGTATAGCCCGTATTCGCATCCGGACCGCGTGCGCGCGCGCGCCAGCGCCGGGGCGGTGTGGACGTCCTGTACGATCCCGATCAGCGCATGCTCAGACGGGCGGCGGGAAACGAGGTGGGCGCGAGGATGGGCAGGGAAAGGATCGTCACCTGTAGTGAGGGCCCCGGAGGGGGCGCGCGGGCATCGGCTCGACGTTCGATGACGATGGCGACACCGGAGGGAGCCCGCGGGATGCCGGATACGGCGCGGGGTAAGAGGAGCGGCCTCGGAGGGAGCTCGCAGCCCCGGGGAAGGGGAGCGTGGGGCAATGCGCAGCGTGCGGGGAAAGGGAAGGCGGGGAAAGGGGAAAAAAGGGCGGGGGCCTTGCGTTACTCACCGAGTGCGGACACGTCCAGTTCGGTGCGGGTTTCCCGCTCTTCCAGGACCCGGTCGGGTGGGTCGGCCTCTTCTGCAGGGTAGATGTTGGTTAGCACGGAACTCAAATAGATATCCTAGCACTTACCAACGAGGTCGCCTGCAAACGCGGGTGCTAATCAATCCCCGCGTTGAGTGTTACACAAGCGGGCCGCGCGCGCGCAGGGAGACTTACGTTCGAAGCCTGGCCGCTTTTGGTTGTGGACATGGAAGGGAGACAGTACATGGCGGGAGGGTTTTCGTCGGTCGACGGTTGATGGGAAAGGGAGCGAGATGGGGAAGAGAACGAAAGGCGAAAGGGAAGCAAAGGCTTGCAGGTGCTTGCGTTCTGACGGACTCATATACCGAGCAGCAAAGGGGCAGTTTTCGGTGCCCTTTAGGAGCTGCTGCCTGCATGCATCATCTGTGGGGCAGGTGTCTCTCTTGGTCATGACGCTAACGGTAAGGTCATCCTCTCCACCCCCAATTCAAGAGCAAGTTTCCGTCGCGAGCACGGGGGGTGTTGACCTCCTGTCGTAATACAAAACGATGTACCCGGGTGTAGTATACAGCTAGATACTCCCATCCCGTACGCGCGTATGTCCCGTGTGTATGGCTCCCGAGTTTGGCCCTCATCCACTAGTTCCCTGTTCATTGGTTCTTATGACAGACGGTCGGAAAATCAGACGCGTTTTACTCACCTTCATTACGACGTCTCACTTGCTCTACACATTCGATGGCCACAGCAACACTCTTCAACCGGTACGATACCTTGGCGAGGAGCACAATGTTGGACCCCTCCGCTGCCTCGTCGATTTGATCTTCGCAATCTAGTATGCTCACTCGTGCCCATTGAGTGCATTGCGGAACCCACAAGCGCACCACCTCTTCGCCGTCGACCTCCTCCACGCACCTCCGGACGAGTTGAGCCATGTCGTAGAAGATGTGCACGGTTGGCCCCTCGTCCTGGTACCCCTGTGTCAGACATGGCTGCTGAGCGATGATCAGACTCACCTCGTAGTTCCATACGAAAGCGACTGGCTTCCTGCTGCTTGCCGTCATCACCGCGAGGCGTACTTGCATCACATCTTCTTTCTCCCCGAGCCATCCTCTGCGACTCTCCCACTCCATCAACGCGCTTCCAAATCCCGAACACATCTCACGCTCTCCATGTCGTAACAGCACAAGACCTCGATCCACACACCATATACGGGTGCGTCCATCACTGACGTCTTTCCACACCTGTTCGAGGACATCGAAGCGTTGCAAGTGGGCGTCGTCGTGCCTTTCATTGGGTAAGCCTCCGCTGGTGGAGATGTTCAGCTGCTCGTCGTGCACCAGTACCTTGACCCGTACGGGCGGGTCGCTCTCTCCCTGCTTCAACGTCAGCATTCGTTTGCAAAGTCGTGTTATGATGCCCGTACCTTCCACCATAACATCACCGTGACCTCTTCTCCGTCGTCTCCTCCGTGCAACACCATTTAGTCGTGTCTACTTGCCCTGTGAAACCGTTGTATCAGCGTCTTGTCGCTCTCGGCATATCGTCTCACCTGGAATTTTTGGAGTGAAGGCGGGATGGGCGTGATGCACGGCGTAGAAATTGAAGAGAGGGGGCACCGGCTCCCCTCAGCGCTTGCGGCGTCTAATCCCGGAATTTTCCGCCATCTCGAAGACGAGTCCACTCATCTCCCACCGTCCCGGGTAGCCTCCAGAATCCGAGGACAACACTTTTATTCTATCCAGTCTACGATGAACCGTCTATCTCCGTCGTCTCTCATCTACAACAGTCCCAGGTTTCCTTGATTGAGCGACCCTGCATTGGCATCCTCCCCCCGAGCAAACCGCCATTCGAGTGCTACACGGTTGGACGAAAGCGCCATCGGTCGACCCGTAGACGGCCCCTCCAATTCGTCCTCCGATATCTCTATCACCTCCCGGTCGGTCGTTGCGTGCTTCATCGCGCTCTTCGGCGTCTGTAAACGTATGAGCTACATTGACCACAGGAACGTATTATCACTCACCCGCTTGTCCACACTCACAGGTATCACGTCGTCATCGGATATCTCAATCGCCTCGAGTTTGCTCACATAGGTTTTCTTCTTGCCGTTGGATTTTACAACCTGGGTTGCTTAGTCAGGCACTCATCTTATGCTATGACGTCATAACACTCACTTCTCGCGCTCGTCCACCATCCACAGGTAAATCTCCATCATTGTCTGATAGTTCAATTACCTCCTTATTGTCCATGTATTTCATCGCGCGAGGGGTCTGTGACATTCGAGGTCGTGATCAGATACCAACAGTGTTCTTAAGCCGTTACCACACTCACCTTGACCGCGGCCTCTTCGTCATCCGAAATCACAATGGCGTCGTTCGCCGTCATCAATACCGTCTTTCTAGTTTCCTTCTCGTCTTCGAAGATCTCGATCGCGTCACCCTGGCCCTGGTGGCGCTGCACAACCCTCTGGGGCACGTTCGCGTACTTTGTGATGGGTCGAGTGCGTCTGCTGGTAGAGGGCGAATGCTTCTCCTTGGCTGGCTGCAGCCCACGTGTGGCCCGCAGCGCGTTGCGACGTGCGCCGAAGCCCTTGGGTTCAGCTGGAGGGCGCCCGTGGGGGCCAGAGTCAGGCCCGCTGGAGGGGCACTTCTTGTGCCCCTAGGTTTGTCAGGCCAGGTGCGTGGCGACGAGCATGGGACTCACGTTCATCAGTAATTTCCAAGATATCTGAATCTCTCAAATCTCTGGCTCATCTCATGTGAGAAGTTTCAGATAAGTGAGAGGTGTGCAGACATTTCAGAAAATTTTCAGAGAGTTCAGATACATCAAGAAAACCTCGGCCACTATTTGTTCACTTCTCGCAACTATCGAGCTAGTCGTTCTGTTGCCGCTGCTAGTAGATCTAAATTAAATCTATTTGCACAAAATCTGAACTAATGTCTAATTACTGAGTCGCTCGTCGTGCGCCCCAGACACTGAGGGGTCACGGGTGAGCGACGGCACGCTACGCTGGGCTGAGCTACATGTCCAAGTGGTCGTCAAACCACTTGCCAAACAACGACGTGCTGGGTGATATCTGTACTCAAACAGGCCCAGATGCCCTCACCGTCTTTGCGAACACGAGGAACAGGTGCGGGTGTTGCTCGGGCGGTGGCTGCACCGTGCTCCGGAGCGCGTTCCTGGGCGAGCTTGCGGGCATTGTCACAGTAGTGACCTCGCACGAGCGACAGGGAGTCGCGAGGAGGGCGCGGCGAGAACGACGCGGACGAGATGGGCTAGGCGGGCGATGCGGACGCGGGCGATGCGAGGGCGAGACGGGGTTGAGGAGGCGAGGTGGGCGACGCGGGAACGACGTGGGCGGCGCGACGAGACGGGCGACCCAGGAGATGCAGGTAACGTGGGGCGATGCAGGTGATGTGGGTGACGCGGGCGCGGTCGGCGAGTGGGTGACGCAGGGGGAGACGGGCAAAGCGGGGGTGAGATGGGAGATACGGGCGACGCGGACGCGCGTGACGTGACCTGTGCGATGTGCATGTAATGGGCGAAGCGGGCGAGGTCAACAATGTGAGTGCGAGATGGGCAGGGGAGGAGAGGATGTGCAGGAAGAAACGAGAGCTCACCGTAATAAACAACAACTTCGTGGCCAGCGCCCTTAAAGACGTCCTTGAGGGAGAGGAGGGAGGTGGAGAGCCAGTGGGCGAGTGCGATGGTGAATGCGTGCTTGTACGCATGGAGCGCGGGAGGCTGGCGTGGTCGGCATAGAAGAGGGGCAGCTGGAAAGCGAGAAGACTTGCAATGATGACGACGAGGACGACAAGCAGGTGCTGGCACTGTGGCAGTGCCAAGCGCTGGAGTCCACGCGTCGCGCGTCCGTTCCCACGTGTCCCGAAGCGGAGCCGCACCTCCAGCCGCCAGCACCTTCCCTCAATCGTCCATCTCTGTCCTTGCCCGCTGCTTCCTCTCCCTCCTACCCGGCCTTGGCTACGACGGCGGACGGATTCTGCAGCAGCGGCGACGTCTGGTGAGTCTTCTTCATGTCTGCTCAATCAGCTCCCCACGCCCATGACGACACTCACGCTCGGACTGAAGCAGTGTATCATGACCGTGTACAACACCACGCTCGTCGTCCCGACCAGTCCGCCGCGAACGGCGTAGCAGCTCGCAGCCACGTCCTGCTTGCCTGCGGGCAAGACCGCCGCGGGCCACGGGGCTCCCCGTTCCGGAGACGCGGAGGAGGAAGGGAGAGGTGTTCATGAGCTGGAACGAGCAAGGACAGGGACGTGCTGCGAGGTCCGCGAGGTCGTCTGGTGAGTCCATGGTTCTCTCAGGATTTCGATGAGACTAATGATTTCGCATATGACCATGGACATGGGTTCGCTGCCTACCCTGTCCGCACCCCTCGAACTCATCGAGGACACGCACAACTCCAACCTCAACGTCGCTAACTGGATTGGTAAGGATGTCCCCTGCACCACCTCTGCACCGCTCCCACTCAGCCCGCCCGTCCAGACCCGCAGCTCACGGTGCTCAAGCCCCGAGTACCCACGTCTGTGTCCTCCACCTCGTCGCTCCTTGACTGCGGCTCCTCCTCCCCTGCGTGTTCGCCCAGGTGGCAGCCCCGCCTGCGCTCCGTCTCTCCTGCACCCGGCACTCACTGTAAGCCCTCGTACCCGGATAATCACCACCCATCCACGATCCTAACGGCACCCTCTGTAGATTCCTCGCTGCGCGCTCCTCTACTCCAGCCGCAAGGGTGCCGTTGCGCCCGTCGTGTGCCCAGTGGTGCGTACGACACCGAGGCCTCAGGTGCGTTCCCGCACGCGATGGAGGTGGATCGTGTGGGTGATCGTCGAAGCGGCGCCAGGTGACGTCGGAGCCCACGGTGACACTGACAATCGCCCTTTCGAGACAGTAGGCATGCGGCGCTGTGTGATGGGAGACATGTGCGAGAGTGGGGACTGCTCTAGCCACCATGGCTATGTGCATGGTTACAGTGTGGGTGCATATGTTGCGTGCGCTGTCGCACCACGTGCGTGTGCGTTTTGACCCCTGTCGTGGGCACTGTAGTACTACTCTAATAGATGATTAATTTGATTTCATTCACAAAGTAACACTTGTGCGCCTTGGAGTGCGTGAGAGCAACTGCGACAGTGCAAGCAAATCCTGTATCTCTGGTTTTTCTGGCCCATCTGAAATCTCTCACACGATGTCTCACTAAAAAGCGAAATGAGAGAAATTCTGAATCTCTCAAAACGTCTCACAGCATCTCACAGCGTCTCAAACCTCTCCACAGACGTTTTGAGACATTTCGGAAATTACTGATGTTGGTGTGCATGCGGTTCGCATCATCATCGCTGCTCTCGTACTGCTCGCTCTTGATCCTTTCGATGTTCAGCTGGACATTCCTTGTTAGCAAAGACGTGAAGATACGTGAAATAAGTGCGTACTTCGGTACGACGCGCCGCCTCAACGGCGACGTGCAGGTTCCTCATGGCCACGCCGAAGCCAGGTTTGGGGTGTTCGCCATCCGCCAACAGGACCATTCGTGCCGGAGTGGGCTCCGTGGCGGTGTTCCTCACCACATGGACGCCGTGCGTAGCGTCGTGCACGCCCTCCATGGCCTTGTCGACGTTGAAGAACGTCACCCACGCCGTAACCTGAGGCTTCCACGCCGTAACCTGAGGCTTCCACACCCTAACCAACCCTGCCGACCCGATGATACAAAGGCAAGTGCGGCGTATGTCCGGTAGAGTAGACGCACTGACTTGCATCCCGTGCTGTGCCATCTCCAGTGAGATCGTGATTCAGAGCGGTTGCTAGCACTCACCTCGTTCCACAGCACGGTGACATAGATTCCATGGAGCACGATGGCGGCCAGAGCCTCGATCTTGCGTTCCTCCTCCGTCATCACCTTGAGATAACAAATCTTGGCGACGCAAGGACCGAAATCGACGCATTCACCTTGACGAGCGCGGAGAAAGATATGACCCTGCGTGGGCCTCGCCACGGCTCCTCCCAACCAGACCCACGTTTGCATGGGGAAGTCCCATCGGTGCATGTTGCGGATCTCCTCCAGGCCAGCGTACTTCGTCAACCACTTCTCTTCAGAAAGATCGACGGCGCCCTGGCAGAGCGTGACGACCTGTTCCTTCCGTTCTCCAGCCTGTGTCTGTCACCCTTCGTCAGCAGCCGTTCAGGTCGCATCGTGGCGATCTCACCAAGTTCCAGATCGTCACCAGTGCTTCTCCGTGCTTCGGGCGGTACTGCTCGTTGGATCAGTCAAGTTGTCAGCCCCGAAGACGCATCACGTACCTGGCTTTCGTTCGCCATCGCAGCCGCCTCCACCTTGAACTTGTACTCCTTTTCAGCGTTATACTGCTCGTTGAATCAGTCGAGTCCCCTGCTCGGACGCAAAGTTACATACCTGGTTATCGTTCACCATCGCGCCTGCCCCCAACTTGAACTTGAAGTCTTTCTGTACCTACTCGTTGGATCAGTGATGTTGTTCCTCCGACCAGAGGTCACGTACCTGGCGTTCCTTTGCCTTCGCGGCTGCGTTACCCTTGGGTTTGGCAGATTTTACAGCCTTGACCCGACCCTTGACCCGGTCTTCTTCGTACCTCTGCCGGGCAATGCGATGCAGGAGTTCGTCCGGCGGACCCGTCTGGCGTGGGAAGTGCACGCATTCCATCCTCTCACCATTGTCGAGATATTCGATGTGCTGTATCCAGACGTCAGTTAAGAGAGCCAGACCATACAACGCGAAGCACTCATGCTCACGACCGTCGTGCCAGCGTAGCCGACCTTCTTGGCCACCTGCTTGTGAACCTGCATCTCGGCGATGTATGGGCCGTCCGGGCCCTCACGAAGCCGTCGGTGACAGCGGTCGCAAAACTCGGGGACACCAGGGTCTCGCAAAGCCCATCCTTCTTCGGCGAGTCGGGTTATCTTCGAAGAGTAGTATGTCTTCTCTTGGCGAGACGGCAGTAGGTGAGGCGGATCGCGCTGGACTCCATTGGGCTGATCGTAGCAGCGCAGGAGGTCGGCTTCGTTCTCCATAAAGGTGGAGCTGAGGCGGTGTGGGGCGTACAGGGGCAAGGAGAGGTGCTGGCCAAGTGCTGGCGTCCTCGGGAAAAAAAACCGTGCTCGCGCGCGGGCGTCTGCCCCGCCGGCGCCCGCTGCGTCATTCTAGCACGTATTCTACGTTCGTCTGGCGTGTAAAGTCACTAGTTCGACCCTTCCTAATGCACTTCCAATGTACAGGCCCTTCCCCTGGTGAGGTCGAGGAGGCGAAGCTCCTAGTCGAGCCATTCCCAGTGCTATGTAAGACGCTGTCGGGCGTCATTCCTTGCGCGCGGCGTTCACGTCCACATGAATGTGCCGTTTCCGGTTGGGGTACATGTACTATATCGCGTGTGCACGTAACTCCACAATCTACCCGTTTTCACGTAAAGCAGTACTCTATCGCCAGTCTACCAGCCTTCTACGACCTGTTGCAACTTACGTAAGCAATCTGCATGTCATCGAGATGGGGCGACTCACGACCTTCCTCGCGCCTTCTTTGTGCACCTCACGATGTGTCTGCGTTTGTTAGCGTCCCAGAGTGTGTGTAGAGTGCCTCTCACTTGTCGGGGATATGCCTTCTTCATTCGAGCTGTTGATTACTTGCGTCAGTATTGCACAATTGAACTGGCAGGAGAACCAACCTTGATCCTCTTCGCGTTCTCGCGATTCGTGTTTCGCTGCCTCTGCAAAGCGGGTCCATCAAAACCTAAGAGTAACCACGAAGGGGATCCTCTCACCTTCCGTGATGCGTCCTCTTGATGGGCGCCATCGCCCACGCCCAAGGAGAACTCGTCTCCGTGACCGGTTTTCACGCATTTGCAGTCCTCGATCTCCATGATGAACAAACCGGCGTATAGGGCGCACTTGTTTTGAGCGTGCCGGAGAAGGAGAGTTTTTTCACTTTCGAAAAGGATGGTGTCCGTTACGTTGTGGACCTGCCACCGGGAGCTTCGAGCGTTCCAGACCATCCACCCCTCGCGCAGGGCGTCGTAGCCTCCTTCATCTCGAAGCCAGTTAAGGACCCATTCGAAAGTCCGGTTTTTTAGTGACGGAAGGTGGAACGCGATGGGGCGTTCGCCGTCCTCCTGAGATTCCGTTAGTCGTCTGCCACCGGAACAGGGGAAACGCCTTACCTTAGGCCATATGAAAACAGGGACGCGGCCGCCCTTGGAGGGGTTCTTGGCCCACCGGAAGTCGGCCAGAGGCTGTTGCATTCGACTGGCGTTGGCAATGTCCATAGCATACAGCTTCTCACCTAGCCCCTTGCACACACCGCGCGGCCGACCAATGCGGACAAAGATGGCACGAGTCCCGTCGTCGATCGGGACCTTGCCCACCTCGAAGGTGCTGACCTCCCAGTTGGATATCGTTCCCCAATAAAGAACGATGCAATCCTCCTTCTCGACGTAGTAGTCGACCATCTCGATGTCTCGCAGAGGTAGCTCTGAGGGAGACTTGACGTCTTGAAAGGCGAAATGAGGATAGCTGTCGCCCTGTTTTGTGGACGTCAGAAATGTACGTCTGTTCCCCATACGACACACTCACCACCTCCCAGACATACACCACAACTGATATGATCTTGTGCAGTTCTTCCACAACGTGGAGAGCGGCCGTCTTCTGGAGGATGGGGTCTTGGAGGGCGATTTTCATGACCGCTTCCGTGACCTGCAGGTCCTGGCCGCAGGTCTGTGTCGAGGCGTCAATACGTTTCACGGCAAGGGAAGAGGATATGGGAGTAAGGGTGGACGCCATGGTGAGAGTGTCCTGAGCAATGTGTTCGTCGGGGACGGAGGGAGAAATTTGGCCGGCGCGCTACCATTTGGCGCCTAGACGTGCTGACGCCTTGCGACCGAGTGTCGACGTCCGCACAGGATAATTCATTTCTCTATGCTACGCAGTTCTCGCTCTCTCTATGCTATTACCCCTTTACATACGCTGACCCGTTCGTTTGGCTTTTACCTCTCGTCGTTTCCACCGCACTTCAGTTCTTTCCGCGCTTGCGCTTCTTCCCCTGCGCAGGTGCACTGACTCGCAAAGGTTAGCGAGTGCGAGGCGAGGTGGCATGTAAACTTACGTTTCCTCTGCTAGAATTGCGAGTGAGGCCCTTGCTTCCTTCATTCTGGTTGATACCTGCGGGATTCGGGAAGTGCGACGCGGCTCGGTGGGGATCGCCGACTTCGACGGTCGTGGCTTCGGAGCACTAGCTGATCCCCGAGATGTTCCCTCGTTGACGGGGGCGGCGTTCTCGACGGGGACGGCGTTCTCGACGAGGTCGGGGTTCGCCTCGACGTGCTGGGCGTTCGACTCAACGGGCGTGGGGTTCGCCGACTTCGGGGGTCTGCCCGCCTTTCGCGGCTTCGGGGGTCTGCCCGCTTTTCGAGCCTTCGGAGCACTACTTGATTCCGGAGAGGTTCCTTCGTTGACGATCGCGTGGTTCTCGTCGACGCGCGCGGGGTTATCTTCCTGGGGCGCGATGCCGTCGGCGCGCGCGATGTCGTCTTGGGCGCACAGGAGGTCTTGAGCGCGCGCGGTGTCGTCGATGCGCGCGAGGTTGTCTTCTGCGGTCGCGGCTTCGAAAGTCACTGCGGAAGAGTCAGCGCTGGTGGTCCCCATCGTCGCTGGATCACGGCGTGGAAGCAGGTGGGCAACAAGCGCCAGCGCTCTAGAGAGTCTCTCATGGAAGGCCTCAGGCGCCATTGTCCATGCTGCACTGGCGTATGAGGGTGGGGTAGGGTGGGTCAAGTGGGTCACGTACGTTCTGCTTCCTCGGCAATGGTATACAGTCCAGTGGTGGCAGCTAGGGCCAGGGCGATGAGAGCGCTTCTGCGCGTGAAAAACTAGGGACTCACCCGTATCCAAACGCACAGGGCTGTCCCGATAAACCGTCGCGTTGCCTGCGGACCGTGTCAGGCATCCGCCGTCACAGATCAACGGATACAACGCACCGTTCACCCCGACGCCATTGGTTCGGATCCAGTCAACGATATCGTCCCTCGAGAGGTCCACGGAGGAGGTCTGGATCTCAGTTCCACCCTCATCCGTTGGGCCTTCCGGAGCCTCCCCTTCTCTTACGACCACTGCGGTATATATTAGAGACGGTTGACGAGCGATAGAGACCACAACTGTACCGTCATGAGCGCTAAGAAGCCATGCGGCGTAGGCATGTTTGAGTTCCTTCTCGGTCATACCTGAGTAGGACTTGATGAACGACCAAAGGGTTTCCCCACGCCTGTTCGCTCCGCTTTCGGTCCTTTCATTACGGGTCAGCGTTTTCTTTTAAAGTGAACGCTGCCACTCACCAAAAGATATCGGGCTTGCCATTTGGCGGTAAGCCGCAGACCGCAATGGACATGTGGTAGCGTGTCTTTCTGTACACGTTGTCGACGACCTGGTCCAGATAATCTCGAAGCAATTGAGCGTTCCTTGACTTAGATTGGCGGTCAGTTCTTTAGACGACAGGGGCACAGTCTCACCGGACTCGCTCTTCTTCGCTTTGGTTGTCCGCACTATCCACCTGCTTCAGATCCTCTTCCAGAGCGGCCATCTCCTCGTATGGCGCACGCTCCTCGTCGGTGAAGCTTTTCCACAGCTTAGAAAGTGCACGAGTATCCTTACCGCGTCGGCTGGAAGACTTCTGGGCGAGGTTGACGTCGTTGGTGTCCACCTCGCCGTCTTCCCCTGCTCCTTCTTCGCTCCCCAGTCCGTCTTCGCTGCCCTCGCTACCCTCGCCGTCCTCGCTACCCTCGCCGTCCTCGCTGCCCTCACCGTCCTCGCTGAGTTCTTCGTACGCAAATGCGCCCAGAACGACGCGTCGCGGTTCCCCGGCGGCGATTCTGGCCCGTTGGATCTTCATCCAGACATCTTCACCGGTACGTCGACGAGATTTGCGAGCTTGTAGACCAGGAAAGGCTGGGGGAAGCGGGGGTCCAGAGATTTTGTCGACGGTGCCTCTGCTTCGGCGGGCCCGATTGTAGATATACTGGGGTGGCGTCAGTGCGGGAACAGATGCTCGGGCGGGTCACATACCGTCCAAACGTCCGGTTTGGTGGCGCGAGGCGCGGACGTGGCGTCCTGGCCGACGCCCGGCGTTTCGTCGACAGGGGCTTCCCCGGCATACGTCGGGGGCTCTCCGTGCTCCTTGACGTAACGTTGGAACAGCAACCGGGCGATCGCTTGGAGGATTGGGAGCTTCTTGCGGGGAGTGTCTTCGAAATATTTTCGGGCTTCAACAGTCGCATTGGGCGGGGCCTTCAGGAGCTCGACGATGTCCGCCGCCGCCAACGCCGCCTGGACCCAGTTTTGGATAGCGTTCCCAACCTTGGGCTCACGTCCTCGGGCACCACCAGATTTCTTCTTTCACGTCTTCGGGAGGGACGTCGTGGTTTTACCCATGGGGGGCTAGGCGAAGAGGATGAGGGCGGTGGGTGATAGCAGCCACGCGACGCGCGTTGATTTTGGCAAGTCGAAAGGCCTCGCTGGCCGCACGTGACCGTCATCACTCCGTCAACGCCATGTATTGCTAGTCATTACACCCACCGACAGCAGTCTACAGTCCATGGTATAGTATTGGGGGTATGGGGAGACGACCGAAGCGAGAGGAGAACTGCGAAACGTACAGGAGAGCCACCTCACGCTGAACGAAGTCGATCTCTTCGGGACCCCAAACCTCCACCTTCCGCATCGAGCGCAGTTCTTCACTACAACCTGGCCATTGCGACACGACTGCGAGGAACCTTCGTAAGTGAGGAATTGCGTGCTGCCATTCTTCGTTGCGCGAGGAGGGCCACAGGAAAGGGTCCTGCCAGGGCGCCGGAATGACGCTCGCGATCAACGCGTCTTTGCCCCACACACCGGAGATGAAGGACTCCCTTCCCCATCGTTCCATCACCGACATGCCGCCCCGCGGGACGAGGGCACAGTCTAGTGCGTTCAGTTCACAGCGGAAGTTGACCTCGTGACACTCCCACATGAGGAAACGACAAACGCGAACGTCAGTCGCGGCGACCTCAGCAGTGACGACGAGGCCCTGCAGGTTGTCCTCCGCCGCCGCGCTGTAGGAGTTGAGGGCCGCACCCTGGCCAAAGAGTCGCGCGACGCCGTTCTTGTCCTCGATCTTGCGCTTGAGTCGCCGATCGGAGCCGTCGACAGGGGCCTGCTTGACCTCATAAACTCCCCATAACGCGGCGCGCCACTCTGCGATGGTGAGGGGCTCCCCAGACACGGCCGGATCAAGCAGTCGGAGCTTGCAGAAGTCTCGGATGCGCACCGCATTATGGAGGTATTGGTGGACTTTGGTGTCGTTTCGAACGCGAGAGCCGTCGATATCAGAAGGGGCACGTGCGACATCGGACACGGAGTCCAGGAGGAAGGGAGGTGGAAAGAAATAATGTACGGATTGTCGAGGTTGCGCGAGAGGGCTAACCGCGCGCAACGCAGCCTCCCAGGGCTCGGGGACTGTTACGAAAGCGGGAGGTGCGAAACATCGGGAGGGATGCCGCTCTTCGGGCGATAGCGCGGCGCCCGAAGCGGTCTCTCCGGAAGCGGCCTCCGCCAATGTTGAGACTGCCGTGGACGTCTGCGACTTCGATCGCTTCCCGCTTCTCCTCTTCTTCCTCTTAGGGCCATCGACGCTTGGACCGGGGCTACCTTGTGAGGCGATCTCTGTGAGTTCGATGCGCCTAGACTTGAGGGGCCGCTGGGTGGCCTCTGCCGAGGCATCTTGAGCCATAGGAGGCAAGCGACTGGTGCAGAGCTGTCCGCTCACAGCGAACACCATGTTGGATACCCAGCTGCTGGTAAGGTTCGCCACCGCTCCAAGTTCGTCGGGGTGATGTCGCATCGGAGGGTCGGTCTCCTTCGCGGAGAGGAAGTAAGCAGACGTCGCGGCGACAATCTTCCATACTTTGAGCTGGCGCGTAATCGGCTGTAAGAACCAAACTGGCAGGCCGATTCTAGTCGCCAGCTGCACAGTGGCGCCGTCGCGCGCGAAGACGCCAAGGACGGGGAGGACCGATGTGCTGAAGTCTTGGGTGGAATCGATTCGGGTCAGGACCTGGCTGATGTAAGTGCGAAGTCCGAGGAGCTCGAGGCCGACCCGCTGGATGTGCGCGCCGACGGCGACGGCGACAGGAGCGTATGACGGCAACCGATTCATCCGGTCCACGCATTGCACGATCACGAGACAGAGCTGATCTCCGTACGATCGAAACCGAGAGGAAGGCCCGGTTGATTGTTGGTACGCCGTTGTGGCGTACAGCGCTCCCCGCTGGAGGTTGTTGCGCAGAACCGCGTCCAGAAAGCCCAGCCCAGGAACACCAACGGAAGGGTCTTCGTTCCAATCGCGGGACGCGAGCAGAGAATGCCAGAGAACGGGGGGTACCTCTGGTTGTGGACTGCGGGGTGAGGGTATGCAGGAGATGTGCCACATGTTGCGCACGAGAGGCTGGGGCCATCGTGAATACTCGTGTTCGCCCCAAAGGCCGTCTTGGTACGTGCGGACGACCGTACGCTCCACAGGGTGAGCAGGAACCCAGTCTTGGTTTGGTGTGGTCACCGCCATGGAGGAGAACCCGTCGCTGGAAGCCGTCTTGGCCTCGAAGGGTGACGTGACGATAGGACCTGCATGGAATAAGCATCGTTGTATGCGTTTCACGGAGGAGGCGCTTACATGGGCCCCATTGGTTCACGGTGAGGCGGAGGACCGGAGGACCGTGCTGCTCAACAGAGGGCGCACTGGATTGACTGGTGTGGAGGAGCCGATCCATGGGTTGATCGTTTGGGCGGGGGCCATCATCATAAGGCGGGGTGGTCATGTTTCAGGCTGAAATGAGATCCGTGGCGGACGCGTGAGCTCCCCGAACTCGGTTCGGAAGAAAGAAAACTCGCTGGACGGCCCTCGTCCAGCCATAAGCTGGAGGTGCACGTCCACACCGACGACCTAGACCAGCGTGGCGCTCGTCTCGTATCGTGGCGTTTTTAGGCGAGAAGGGCGATGAACATCCAGTTTGACCTGGAGACGCACGGCCCGGCCCTAGATGCATCCCAGCATGGAGCTCGGCATCGCATCTTCAGGCCACGAAAGACAAAAGGGAGTCACTCACCTCAGAGAATGCTGAGGAACGAGTGCAGCTGCACAGGTAACGAGCAGTGACGTTGTTCGGAATCGTAGGGCGCCTGTCGGGACGCGTGAGTCTCACGTGACCTCGGACATTCCCACCACTGAGATTCCGCGCCTAACGACTTCAACAGTGCCACGACGACGTCGAGGTGAACGGCGGGTTCTTTTCTCACGCGTTTCCCGATGTATGCCCCGACAGAGTGCGCATCTGCGTTGTTGATTCAACCAGACGCCACCTGTATGTCTTAGAATGAATGCGCCTGCCTCCGCCGACACGTTCATGTCGCATCGCGTCATTCCGGAGTTTGGCGCAGTAAAGTCCATAATGAACCCTAATGACCCCTCCGATGAACGATCAGGGGAAGTCCAGAAATGTATACGCCATAGTTTAGCAATATCATGTATCCGATGCAATGATCGATCTATTGCGAGCTGCCACGCGATCAGTTCGAAACGACCTGATACTGGAATCGATCCGATAGCGCGCATCGACGAGCCCTCTGGTCTGAGGCCCTCACGCACTTTCGCCCTGTGATATCCTTCGACCGAACGCACCCACCTCACATTCTCATCCTTCCATGGCCCGTGCGCGAAAAAGAAGATGCTCGGACGACGATTTATCTTTCGCGGAGCGTTCCGATGGGCGCGATAAATCGGGGGCCGACATAGTCGTTCACAAACGTCCGAAGGTTGCTGGCCCATCCACCCCGAAGAAGACGTCGACGAAACACCCCTCCTCCCTTCCCCATGTTCCGTCCTTGCATCCGACCTCTACCACATCCACAGCGCCCGGCCTTGAACCCCGAACGACCGCTGCCTCGCCGACCAACTCATCGATGAACGCCCTTCAGATGGCAGCCTCCTCTCCTCAAAAGGCCCGCGAACCTGTCCCGGTCACTAACCCTGCGACAACCACGACCGTGTCGGACGTTACGCCCGCGCCGACTTCAGGGAACAAACCAGGGCGAGCGCCAGCGAAGGCCAACCACACCATCGTGAGTGCGTGATATGTTTATAAGCGAGAAACCTCTCTGAATAACGCCAGGCCCCAAATGTTCGCACTGCAACCTTCGAACAGAACGCTCGTGGAGCGGTCAGCGCCATGCTCGCTCGCCACAGGCCGGCGTTGTCGACCGACGAGTGCTGGGGTTGTCAGATGCTCAAGCGTCCGAGTCAACTCCCAGAAGATCTCGACCAGCGATACAAATGCGAAACGTGCCTGGGCCACCCCAACTACTGCCAGTCGTGCATGTGGCTGACGCATCGGTTCGTACTCACCCACTCGATAGCAAAATGGTCAAAGAACGACAAGACCTGGATCCCAAGCACCCTCAAGGCTGCGACAAAGCAGACCCCTGTGCTCGGACATTGCGATGGTAGACCATGCGGTTGGTTTACTGAGATCCCGACGCGCATCACCCTCGTTCACGAGCACGGCACGGTCAAGATGGACGTGCGCTATTGCTGGTGAGTGTCCTTTACACGGCTCCAGCTTTATGGCACCGACCTTCTCCTTTGTAGGTGCGGAACGCATAAGAATCATAAGGAGGTGTACAAACAAGGCATCGCCGTGCTGTTTGGAGTGTGGCCTGGGACGTGGACGGATGCAAGTCCTCGAACGCTGTACACGATCAACGCCTTGCGATACTTGGACGCCCACCTGACTACCGCCCAAACGAGCATGCACGACGAGTGGGAGGTTTTGAAGCGCCTGACGGACTCGGCGACCCCGCAGAAACAGAAGGTGAGCACTTACTCGGCCCTTGCTTCCGACTGCACACCCACATCCTGGACAGAGTCGCGTGCGGGAGTTGTTGGAGAGCATGCGCCACTACGCGTTCGCCGATAGCTGTCTGCACCATGGCGTGAAGCCACCGGCTTTCAACGAGAAGGGTGAGGCCACTGAGGTCCTGGAACGCAACGCCTTGGCGACCCTTTGTCCGCTGTGTCCTCACCCCGGTAAGAACATGCGGCCTGGCTGGGTCACTCGCAACGTCATCTATAAGTGCGTGCGAGTCCATGACGAGCAGCGGGACCATGCTAAAGTGCACGCAGGTACTTGGACGAATGGTTCATCACTCTCGACGGCAATTTTCGTCAGCATACACGCATGAAAGCCATGGATAGCAAGGATTTCAGCCTGTACCGCTCGGCGGCCTACTTCGTGTGCAACGTAGGGCTCAATCTTCATCTCCAACGGGTCGGGAAAAACGACATAGAGGTGCGCAGGAGCCGTTTGCCACATACACGTCAGGATCTGACGGGGCTCGCAGGCGTCGGACTGTCATAGCTTCAAAGCGACCGGGTACTCCGGATACACGGGTCAAGTTTCGGGTCTGATTGCTGGTGTTTGTCGACACGGACTTTTTGCGGGCGGGAGCGTGTTGAACTTGGAGAAGGGCGAGCGGTGAGTGCATTTGTCAACCATGCGAGAGGGTCGTTGAGGGCGTTCCAGTTTCGCCATGGTGGATTACGCCTTGATGTCGGCCGGCAAGCCGTTCCTTGGCCTCAAGGGATGGAATGTCTGGTACGACGTAGGCTGCCAGTTCGTCAAGAAGCTGCCCGGTCGCCTTGCTGCCATGATGAAGTACGCTGGCCAGATGCTGTCCATCGGTGCCGTCACTGTATTGCCATCCATCGTCGTGAACATAGGGGACTTTCACCTCCGAGCCCACCAACAAGACTGTCAAACGCTCTACAACGGCAATCTTCGCTCCGGAACAGGGCGAAGCTACGGCGAGAACTGCGAGCCTGGGTGGGGGCATCTGAACCCCAGTTCCGCTCGTGCCAAGGAGATGGGGCCTGGGCTACGGATGGACACGTTAACCCGCATCATAGAGATCTTCAACATTGCGAAGATCAATCGCATGGGTAAGTGCTAGCCGTTGCTCGTCTACGCAGCCGTCGTCACTGAAAAGGATATTCTCAGCCAAAGAGCTCGTGCGTCTCCACAAGATGGCCGCCGCGCGCTACAAGGAAGACAAGTCGTATCTGAAGAAGCTGGAGAAAAGTGTGAGGAAGAAGAAACCGAAGTTGCTGAAGGAATGGATGGCTGAGGAGATGCAATGGTTGTCGGAGATCGTCAACCCGATGTTGGACAAGAAGACGATCAACAACCCCTTCGTCATGAAGGTAGCAGAGGGTAAGCGCCATGCCTGATCTCAGTCCAGTGACTGAACGCGTCCACAGACGCCTCCTTCGATGGCACGTCGGAACGACTCCGAGAAGGGAAGGACAAGGAGATCGAGGGCATGAAGGACGTTGACAACAGCGAAGTGATGCGGATGGCCGGGGCCATCGACGCCATGATCAGGCTGGAGGATGAAAGGCACGTCGGTCTGGTACCTGTTCTGCGTGGCGCGCGCTGAACAATGGGGAATAGGCGAGATCTCATAACCAGTCTGTCGGTGTTTGATTACACGAAGCCCAGCCAGTTCAAGGCGCGCAAGAGAGACTACGAGAGCTTCCTCATCGAAGCGGAGAACGCTCAGAGGACGTATGACCTCCACATCACGCCCATCTTCAAGGCCGCCTGCGAACGGTTGCGATCGAACGCGCCACAAGCCGATACCTGTTATCCCATGGCTGAAGAGGAATCCGTCGCGCCTGCACCCGTCGACACGAGCTCCATCAAAAGCGGCTCCGTCAAACGTTGGATCAAGGAGATCGAAGCGGTGTCGGTCCCCCTCCCCTCCAGCTATCACTCGTCGATACGATCCGATCCGACGATGAAGGCAGCTGTCGCAGTGGAGAGGCGGATGCGCGAAGGTCAAGCTCGAGACACACTCGATGAGTATCGCGTACTCGTAGCGAGCCAGGTGTCCTGGAAGCTGATCGCGACCCAGAAACCGGCCACGAGGAAGAGAACCCAGGACGTGCACCAGAAGGTGCCACTCACGCAACGCGTTCTCAAAGAGAAGGAGTACTTCGAGCGGTACCAGAAGTTGCTCGTGCGCTTGGGCATGAGCGAAGATGATCAACTGCAACGCTCCATCGACATCACACCTGAGGACGGGGAGGACTGGGCGATCCATCAAGACCAGCGGAAGGCGGGGGCCACTCACAAGACGCCTAGCTGGATCTGGGGCGATGTGCAGTGGATATTTAGTATCAAGAACGACGTGCAGCGAGATTACGTCTTGGCCAGTGAGTCACAACGCGCTTTCGAGGACGCAGATCTAACTTCGATGCAGAGTTCAAGATCCACTGGTTCAGATGCCGAGCGTCCGCGGCGCGGTGGCATGAGGAGGTGTACCTTCGCCGCGAAGAGATGTATCGAATGCTTGCTATGCTGGGATACCAGATGGATACAATGGAACGTATAGCTGACGCCGCCGATGCGGCTCCCAAGGAGGACGGCAGGGAGGGGGAGGCGGTCTTCTACAGACGGTGAGTGCGCGTCACCGTTCAGGGATATATGCTAAAACACGTCATGCAGTCGCAAGTATGACCTCAAACGACTCTATGAGAACGCGAAGTCGGCATTCGAGGGTATCAAGTACGACAAGGTACGTTCCATCCTCATATGAAAGGACGACGATGCTCAAGTTAAGGAAAGGCGATCGGGATAGGAGAAGATGACTACGAAACGGAAGACGAGAAAGAGATGAAAGAGACGCAATCGGAGGAAGAATCGACGTCAGAGGAAGAATCGGACTTGGACGAAGAAGAGGGCTCGGAGGAAGAATCGGACTCGGACAGCGGAGACGAGTGAAATGAACAGGTGCACGGAGGTCGTGATATATATCACTTGTTAGTGTAAACTTGCATAGGAGGAGGAGAGTACACAGGGACGCGGGAGCCGGCGACTTCGAACTGGTGCGGTAGTGGGAACGAGTCGGCCCGTACACGGTGTCCACTTGGGTCGGAAGAGACACGCATGTCGACAACTGTAGCCTTGAAGTAGAGCATCGAGCCTTCGGGGTTTTGGAGGCCTGAAAACCGGACACCGACGGCGGTGCGGCGGTGTGCAGGGAGGTGCGTAGCGCACGCTGGGGCACGGGGGATTAGGACCGCGGGAAAGGTGATTGATACGAGCAAGGAGATCGACCGCTGGCTCTCTCTGACCGCCATGACCGCCCTACCCCCAGATGCCCTACTTCGCGACTATCATCGACCCGGGCACCCACCGGACCCCCTGCCCGACCGGACCACGGATGAACGTCTGAAAGACCTGATCATCAAGTACAGCGATGAAATGCACCGCCTGTGCGAAGCAGGCTCTGAGCATCGCAAGCCTCCGCGTCCCGACCAGTGCCCGAAATGCGGCACCGTTCTAACTACCTGGACGCACGTCGAGGAGAAAGTCAACGTTAGGAGGTACACCGGCGGTGCTTGGATGTTCATCGTGAGTGCTATATCCTCTGTCTTGACCCCGGGCCTCATTGCGTTCAGTAGCACGACCGTCCCGGCCAAATGGGATGCTCCTGGTTCCCGGTGCAAACGGGACCTACCGATGCTGAGCTGCAGGCAATCGAGCGGCACAGGAAGATGGAACACGCCGAGAACGAGGCTGTTCAGGCGCGTCTACTCGAAAGGCAGAAAGAGCACGAGGAACGGAAGATGGAGCGTGAACGCAGACGAGAGCATAAGAAGGAGCGACATGCACGGCAGGAGGTAGCACGCATCATGCGTGAGAGCGTGAAGAGGAGGCTTAGAGGATACATCGGCGACGGCGCGTAGAGTGAGTGCGCTGCCGTATACCCTGGACAAGATGGCTGACTGCTCAATACTCGTCGGGTGCGTACATACATAGTAATGTAATGGGACTCAAAGGGGACAAGGAGTGCTCGCGTACGTGCGCGTCGGTGCGAGGGTGGGAGACCAGTAGATATACGTATGGCGCTTCTAGGGTGCATGGATCCGTATGAAGAGCCGTCAGTGCTCGTACTTCGGGCGTCGCATGCGCAGTGTTCGAGGCGCAATGACATGGTGGTGAGTCAAGACCGCGCGAAAATTGAGGTCGGGGCGCCTGCAGCTCCCAAGTCGGCTCGGAGGCTCGCGCCTTTTCGTCAACTGCCCCCCCCAAACTCCTCACCCTCGCACGCCGAATCCGTCGAAAAGATGCAGGTGAGCCTGCATTTCTTCGCTTTGGTCCACGCAGTGCCTGCCGCCACGGCGCCACACGCGGCGGCGTCTCCGTCGCGAGTGACTCTAACGGCCCTTATAGGAGCAGGAGCAAACCCCTGTCGCCATTTTGGACGGCAACTATCACCTGAAACCTCGATCGGATGCACAGACCGCGACGCATGCCTACGGCCACTACCAGACAGCTAAAGAGTGGATGACGGCCGTGAAGCTTGCCGATGGCATCCAAAAGAGACGTCGCCGGGTCAAAAAGGACGTCAAAGACCCCATCTGGTACAAGATCAACAAGAACGTGAGGAAGCAGCAGGGTGAGTAGCGATTCTGGCTGGTTCCATCGGTGCATGGGCGGTGACACTGTCATAAGATAAGGAAGACGACGACGAGCTACAGAAGAAAATCGATGATATGATCACCTATGGCACGGACCCAGGGAAACGCCGCCGCAAGGACGAGGAGAGTGACGTCCAGGGTCATGTTCGAGGCGCAAAACGTCGTCGCGATGGCCAGGAGACGGACGGGGACGAGCAGATGGATTCGGAGGTACAACAAGGGTGATTAGCGGTGAGCGCAAAATCCATTCGAACCAAAACCCCGCTGACAGGTGCCAGGGAGGTCGAAATGAACAGAACGCTGGCGGTTTGACGGGGAGAGGGGAGAACTCGAGATTATTGCGATGTTTATGCTTATTGTACCTCGACTGGGGGCCGGTGCGCCTTCCGCTGACCGGGAGGGACGGTGTGCCGACTCAAGCCCCCAGTTATGCGCACAATGCGAAGTACTGCTGGACTTGTATTAGGCCCGCCTCGTGCGTCGGGAGCCGCGCGCATAAGTTTATGATGGTTCTTGTTGCGATGACGGCACCGTTGTGGGTTCTGACATGATGGTCCGGGATGATAAGTCACGTGAGACGGGACTGCCTACGCTGGTCGCCTGCATGCAGAGCCGGACACCCCTCCCTCTCCGTCATCTTCCATCCGCATTTCCAGGGCGCCGTCACACGGAATGACTATTCAACTCGGAAAAAACCAGGTAGGTATCTGGGCCACCGGAACGCTCCGTGCAACTAAAATCGAATGGCATAGGTTGGACACAATCCGGCAAGTGCGCTAAAAAGCGATGTGATGCAGGGACTGTTTGCGAGTGCGCCCGACACTTGCGACCTGAACGACTTTCTCAAGACCTTTGAAGGTTATGGAAACCAGATGGTTTACGGAGACGTACGCATGACCCCGGAATCAACCTCAGGTCAGTCTGTGAGCTCGGACAGCCAACCTGTTTTTGACTCACGTCGCGGACGCAGATTTCTTCTTGAAGGGCGCCAGAGATCGTTGGGGTGGGGATGGCCGAACGCATGGCGAGAAGGATGAAGCTTACTGGGTGAGTTTGGGGCCAGGCGTGAATGAGATGGGAAGCAACCACAGGCTGGACGTTCTGCAGAGGGCATTTGATAACGTCCAGAGGAAGGGGAAACCGGGTCAAGGTGAGCATGAAGTGATCGTGCGATAGGACAGCGAGTTGAAAGCTGTAGCCCCTACAACGTCTCAGCCCTCTCAGCCCGGCAGGAAGATCCGCTAGATGAAGCTCGGAAACGGGTCCAACACTGGGTTCGATACGGGACACCCGTTTCCAAACGGCGCCGAGACGACGACGAGAGCGATGCTGAAGACGGTCGCGGACCCAAGATAGAAGCTCGAGCGATCAAACTAAGGCTGTTTGAGACTCCGGATCACTTTGCAGATCAACCCGCAGATATCCGGAGTCGTGAGTCGTGGTTCATGATCCACACGGCTCCGGATCAGTGCGGATCCGGCTTGGTGAGGATCCGGATCGGGCCGGCCAGATTTTTTGTTATCCGCGGGTCATCCGCGGGTAGAGTCGCATATTTGGACCATGTATTGACGCAATATAATAACTATTCATCACTTCACTGTTACTATTCCAAGTCCTACTCGTCGTCTGAAGTATCAGAGACGTCGGAGTGAACAGGCGTGATGAGCCCGGGAAGCTCGTCCTCGACTGAGGGGTGTGCAGGAGTCACACCAACGACTCCACCTGCACCAGTGATCGTGCCCACATCCACGCTTGCAACCGCGTCCCCGCGCGCGTGCGCACCCCTGCCCGCACGCTTCCCCTTCCCCTTCCCCTTTCTCTTGTGCCTGCGCCTGCGCGTCTGCGACACGGGACCTGCGCCCCCACCTGCCGTGCCCATGTCTGGCCCCAACATCCACTCCGCAGGCGACTTTGAACCAGTGCTCGCCTCCGGGCTGCGATCCTCCTGCTCCCCCTCATGGGCTGTGGGGGGGCGCGCGCTACCTGTGGCCGCGCAGGTGGAATCCACGCCCACGCCCACGTCGCCGGAGCTTCCTGCCGCATGGAGGTCCGTTGCCGCCGCAGCACCGGCGAAGAGGGTGTCGACCAAGACTGCGTGGGTCCGCGGGCTTAACGTGGAGGGGCGCGGCGCATCCAGGAGCTCCGCGATGACCAGGGACTGGTGGTATTCCGCGATTTCTTCAACTATGCTCACCCAACGCGCAGGGGGGACGAGACGGCGCGTTGCCGCGACCATCATTTCCCCATACGTTTGGCCAAAGGTCGGTGCACTGCCGCCACCGAGCGAGGGATCTGTGCCGAGGTCGTAGAGCTCAGACAGTGCGGCGAGCTCATCCGAGAAAGACGTGGATGGGTTGTCAACGCCAGGGTGTGTGGGATTAAGATAGGTGTCGGAGACTGGAGCGAGGGTGGTGGCATCGCCGATTGAGATGTCGGAGGTAGTAGGCAGGGGAGATGGGGGACCAACGGTAGGGGCGGGCGTACTAGACATCTCGGTGGGAGGAAGGGAAGCCTCGAGAGGGGTGACGATCGGGATACGGAAGACCACGGGAAGAAGGTGGTCGTTGGAGGAAAGAACCTGTGAGATACTGTGTGAGTGTGTGTGCAGGATATTATGATATTCTTGTAGACATACTCAGACGGAGATCGCGAATATGAATGCACAGGTGGATCTCGCAAGGAGACGTAGGGCGCCCAACGTCGTTTGTGTGCTGAGGGCACAAACAGGCCGCGCGAGATGTCGTCCGCACGAGATGTCGGCCGCGCGAGATGTCAGCCGTGCGAGGAGACGGTGGGTCGTTGATTGCTCAGCGCAACTTGGCGATAAGTTGCTATTAGTGCGAGGGGATGGCTTGTCGGCGCGAGGGGATGGGTCGTTGGCGCGAGGAGATGGGTTTCCCGTCAGTGCGAGGGGATGGGTCGTCCGCGCGAGGAGATGGGTCGTCTGGGCGAGGAGATGGGTCGTCCGCGCGAGGAGATGGGTCATCCGCGCGAGGAGATGGGTCCTCCGCGCGAGGAGATGGGTCGTCCGCAGGGGCCGTGCGGTTCGGATCGTCGGAGGCTCTTGCCGGCTTGTTTGAGACCTGGAGGGATCCGGAGCTGGGTGGGAGCTGGGCGATTACGCCAAATAAGGCAGGTGATCTGTTAGGCACTGGGTGAGATAACGATCTGAGGATCATGTTGATCCTCAGATGGTTAGCTCACCCGGACATATGTTTATACCTCAGCAGTGTCAACCATTAGAGAGGCACAGACGACTCACTGAGAGGACATGGGTGGTGGTAGGAGCGACGCAGACGTGGCAGCGGATGTGGAGTCCTGCGCGGCTCCCGTCAGGCGTGGGCCTGAGAGTCGAAGCCCTCGCTTCGAGCAGGAAGCAAGGTGCTGCTTTGGGTGATGTCGCGTGTGGTCAGGCGTGGAGGCTGACTCGTGCCATCACCAACTCCTTGCCCTCATCGCCTCTATCGATGCGTTTTCTCCCCCCCTCTGCTCTCTCCTCCCGAACTCAGTCTAGACTCTACTAGTCCTACTGCGATCTTTTCCTGCTGGAACTATCGCGTTATCGGTCGCAAGGTCTCATCAACGCGTGCATCGTTGCAAATCAACTCAGCACGCACACACGACACTCCGACTGCCCCATGAACATGAACATTGCAGTGTTCCTGGCCCAACCACCTCATGGACCGTCTCGTGCACCTCCCCCTGCTCATGATTGGGTATCAAGCACCCTGCCAGGGCGAACGGAGCACCGGAATGGTACTCATCTTGGTGAGCACACTCTGAGCTATCCCGTCATTGAGGCAGGACACAGAGCTCTGGGCTAACATTACCTTCGAAAGGGACATTCAGGAGTGCGCGATTCAACCTCCTGGGGAGGTTTTATACTACGGAAACTCACCCTGGTGAGTTCAGAGATCCCACTCTACCCCTCGCCCTCTGACGATTCGCCTCCCCTCGACGTTAGTATGCCCGCCGACTCCCCCGCCGAGAACCCCCTTGCCGCTGCGGTAGCGGCTGCCAAACGTCCCCGCTCGGAGACCGTCACGCAGGAGTCTGCCAGGTACATCCGCTACTACTATCTTTCATTGCACTTTCCTAACACACTTTCTTCAATCTACCACAGTGCCACCATGCCTAGCGGGCGCGACAAGCGGCGTGCGAAGGTACGGCGCACGAGGTCGACTACCTCTGTATCCTCCAAGTCGGTCACAGAGGACGACTCGGACAAGGACTCGAGCGCCATACCTTCTGACTCCGACAGTTCCGACGGCGACGATGGTGTTCGTGGCCTGAAAGAACGCACTCGCGCAGCCGCGGAGAACACTGGGATCGTGGGCAAGACTGATCGCCAGACTCGGTTCGCAAGGCGGTTCCCGAACATGACCCCGGAGGAGATTTTAGGTAAGTCCGATCGCTCATCTCTCGCACGAACATATTGCTGATATCTTGCAGCGGAGCTTGCAAAGGGTTGGCGTTCAGATGCGTATTTGCACTTCGAATTCCCAACCGTCATTCGAGGCCCCAACGGGACTATAAGTCATCGTTTCGTTTGCAAGGAGTACGTTGTGCGATTTAGTATGTGTTGACCATGACTTACATACTCTCTACAGGCACTCGTCTAAGAAGGTCGATCGTCCGGACTATCAAGAAAGCACCGGAAATCTCGTGCGGCACGTGAACAGCTGCAACCCTCAGAAGAAGCCAGTGGCCACAGCCGGCGTTCAGCTCATTGAAGATTTCGCCGCCGGGGTCACGTACACTCCGCATCGCATGCGGTTCCTGCTTGCGATGTGGTGTGCACGAGACCATCGCCCCTTCACCATCGTGCAGGACAAGGACTTCCGTGCAATCTTGGCGATGCTCTACAACAAGGTCGCTCTCCCAACTCGCCAGACGATCTCTCAAGACGTCCGCGACATCCATCTGGAGGCGAAACAGCGGGTCATCGACCATCTCAAGGTACGTAGTCTATCCCAACCCTCTGCCGCGACACCTCTGACATTGTAATCAGAACGTCGAAGGCGGCATCCATGTCTGCATGGATGGCTGGACGTCGCCAAACGTGATCTCGTACCTTGGGATCACTGTCCACTGGACCGAAAAGGGGGTCATGAAGCATATTATTTTGGACTTCGTCAAGTGAGTTCTCCACTGCACGCTGTGCACCCACTGCGCGAACTAATACCCGACCTCCCTTCAAAGGCTCACCAAGTCCCACACTGCTATATTCCTCGCCGACAAGCTCGAGGACTGTCTCCGCGAGTACGGTATCTTTGACAAGGTGAGCCCCCGGTTCTCTCTCACCCTTCCCTCCTCTCGCGTGCGCTCCCCACCCCGGTCCCCGTAACTCGTGCCCTATAAAGCCTTGCGGTGCATGCTGACACCATTCAACACCCTCCAGGTCATCGCTGTCACATGCGACAATGCTGAGGTCAACACAGCACTCATGCGTCAGCTCCATACGCGCGCGCCGTTAGCCCGGATCGGCGAGGGCCATGTCCGTTGCTTCGGACATGTGTTGAACCTAGTCAGCAAGGTCCGTACCTACGATGTATAATGCTGATATATTGTCGTCTTATAATATTTATAACACCATATCAGGCTGCCGTCAAACCTTTCTTGAAGAAGCGCGGCCCCGCCGGCAACGCGTCAGAGGACGACGAAGATGCCAGAGTGTTGCATGATGAACACGACGACTTCTCCGACGACGGCTCAGATGTCGACTCGGCAGACGAGAATGAGGGCGTAGAAGTCGACCGCGCACGTGAGGATGCAGACCAAGGTATCATTGACGATCTCGGTGACGATGACGACACGCCGTGCACGCCTGAAGAGGAGAAGGCCGCAATTCTCGCTCTTGAGAAGGTGAGTTAAATTCCTTGACCGCTTGTCATTGAACACTCACATAGTGTGTCCTACGGTAGCTTATCAAGCTCTCGGGAAAGGTTTGGAACAGTCCCCCCGTTCGTGCTGAGCTGGAAGAGCTTGCCAAGAGCGCGAACATCAACGCGCGTGTCCTCATTCGCATGGTCCGCACCCGATGGAACAGCCTCGTCAGTGTCATCGCCCGCGGACTTGAAATGAAGGACGTACTTGGCCCACTCTGCGACAAGTACGAGTTCAATCGCACCGGAGGTGTCCGTCTCCGTCGCTTCATCCTCAACGAGGATGAGTGGTCCATCCTCGAACAGCTCTACCACCTCATGGACGTAAGTACGATGTACTTTTTCCTGCACCCTTCGCTGATGATCTGCTTTCTCATAGCCTTTCTTGTACGCGACCACCCAGATCTCGTCCAACACCCGCGCGCTTCTACACGAAGTAATACCTTTCATTGACGTCCTTACGAAGCACCTCGACGATTTTGTCGACCAAGCCGATCTTCACCCGGTCGTCCGCAAGGGTGCGCGTGCCGCGCGAGCGATCATGAACAAGTATTACAGCAGGACCGACGACACTCCAGTCTACCGTATCGCCATGAGTACGTACTAACATCCACATATCACCCGTCCACTCTCTGATGTTCCATGTTTCGTAGTTCTTCACCCAGCCCTCAAGCTCACATACTTCCGCAAAGCGGGCTGGACGCCTGAGTGGATTCAAATTGCGCGCGACCTCACCAAGGAGGTCTGGCTGAACTACTACAAGATCGACACCCCTGCCAATGACGATGACGAGCCACCCTCCACGCCTGCCGCCTCCACCTCTGCGTCGACATCTCGGTCGTCCGCATCAGGCGTCAAGAGCCGTGCTGCGCGCAAGAGCTCTCATAGTGTGAGCGCTGCCGTAAGTCACACCAAATCCCTCGCCGTGCTTGACGATCCCAGCTCACATAGTCACACTTCTTTCGCAGCTCTTTGCCAATATTACTGCGCGGGCGTCGCGTGACGCTACTGATGCTCTCGAAGAGTACCTCAATGCGCCGCCCAAAACGACTGTGAAGGACCCACTCGCCTATTGGGCTGGCGCGCTCAAGGGCAAGTCTGAGGACCGTGCACTCGCGCGCATGGCCCTGGACTATCTGTCTATTCCTGGTATGTTCCTATCTGTGTCGTTCTCTGCACTGTTATTGAATATATCGAAACCCAGCGACCTCGACTGATGCCGAGCGTGCCTTTTCCCGAGGTCGCCTCACGGTGTCCCGCCTCCGTCGTTCTCTCGGCAACGATAGTGTTCGTGCGAACACGATCTTGGGGTCATGGGCTCGTGTTCCCGGCCTCATCCCGGAAGAAGAAATGATAGAGTTCCTGAAGGACAAGAAGGGCGTGCGTGCCCGTCGTGCTGGTGACGCGCCCCCCGAGTCGCCCACTGACATTATCACTATTGATTAGATGTGTATGATCGCCCCCCATCCTTCTCATATGCCCACCACCCACGTACTTCCCTGCCCACGTTCATCTACTCCTGCACATTGAGTCCCTTCCCTTTTTCGCATTCCCAGCGCCTGCGCAATCTGGTCTACAGCCTCCTCACTTTTGTATGGTCTCCTGCCACGACACGTGTTATGCATCCACCTTTGTTTGGCTAGCCCCACCCCATGCGCCTCACTGCCGTGCGTGCACACCTCGCGCGGGTCCATACTCCCAGGCGACCAGACGTCCCGCCGCCCGCCGGCACGCCCACACCTCCGCGCGATGGTCAACCGGATGTCCCGCGCGGCGCGCGCTAGGAGGTACAATGCCACTGACTCCCTCTATGGCTGCGCAAGAGCGCCGTGACCCACCATGGATCCATTGCGGCGCATTCTGTGTGCTTAATCCTAATGAAAGTTGCAATATATGTGTGCGGATCCACAGTATCCGTGGATCCACACGGGTCACGACTCAGTTCGTGGGTAGACCCACGGGTCACGGTTCCGGCTCCCGCGGGTCCAGGTCTTCCAGGTGATCCGATCCGCACGACTCCGGGTCAAGCCTGTCTGAGCGCCAGTGATCCGCGGATACGACTCAGGATCACCCGCGGGTAGATCCGCAAACAGCCTTAGATCAAACGCTGCCGCCAAGAAGCAGAACACAGCCAAGACCTCTGGGAAACCAATGTCGAGGCGGACGGGGAGGAGAGGATGCAGTGCGATCCCTAGGAAGGGGGTCCTGGGACTCTGGACGGTCTCGAAACCACGGGTAAGTTGCGTCTGATTGCGCTGCGGCCGTCGCTGACACCTGTGACAGCGTCAAATAACGCGAAAACGGAGGGGAGTACGATCAGAGGGACAACGTGCATGTATTACGATGTTAGACTTGTTAGAAGAGTAACAACGTCATGCTTGCGTCCAAATAAGGCGAGGCATCGATCGTCAACTGCCATTTCCATGCTGGGGACTGCGTTGCGTCATGCACCTACGCAGTGTCTTCCACCGCCTCCATACCGGTCGGCGCTGCTGCCTTGCCATGCGCTGGGATTGTATTCGACGCCGGCAACCCTTGGCGTCTCATAGCGAATCTGTAAGTCCGACACCCTGCACTTCCTTATGCACCTGCTCACTCTTTTCCACCATGGGCGTACGCCGCTGCACGCCGCATAGCCCGCCTAGTATCCTTGGCGTATAACCGCAAGTGACATTGTTCTGGATAGCGGTCTCATATGGCGAGGATATCCACCCGCGAGTCTCTTGCATCAGACCGTGCAGCACCGCCTGGTTGTTTGTCCCTGCGCTTCTCCTGCCCCGAGTTCTGCTTACCCTGCCCATACGTCTAGCCACACTCATGTATGTTCAGCGCTAGCGCTACCCACCCATTGCCAGCCTCCCTAAAACGCCTGCGCCTTGAAGTGAACGCGTCGGAGCCCGGGCCGAGCCAACACTTGGAGAGATCAAGACGCCGGTAGGTTGCCGGATTAAGTCCCGAGCGCTCGAGCCGCAACTGAACGCCGAGACGGATCACGGAATCAGCAGATATGCGGTGCCGTGCGGACATCGCCGAAGACGCCGAAGCCTGTCCAAGTAGTGAGTAGTGTCGTCCGTGCTAGATGTCGTCGACCCATGTCAGCAAGGATGATGCTCAGGAAATAAAAAGCTTGGGAAAACGACACGCCGGGAAGTACCACTCAAGCGGGCCTTGCGAAGGACGCCAAATGCAACCGCAGTGAGGAACGAACGGGATGTCCAGAGACGCTACGCATCGCGAGACGCGACGCACCTGTGAGCACGCGTGCAACGCATGCTATCATAAACGCGAGAAACTGTTCGAAAGTTCAGCGCCCAGCTCCACGCTCCGGCGCACATCCTCGTCCTCCACCGACCGTCTCTCTCGGCACTCCTCACTCCCTCGAACGCATCCCGGCCGTCAAAGTCAAAGTCATTCCTTCGTGCTGCGTAGCCGGGTTAGCGGGTGAGTGTGTCGCGGAGTGGTTTTGCACTCTGCGAGCGTCTCACACTTGCGTCTCCTCTGCCCCTCCGTCTCTCGTTTCTGCCTCTCGTCTGCTCGCCCCTTCCTCTCTCGTCTCTTCCTCCTACTTCAACAGCACCGCGGCCTGATCACCCCCAACACCACCGCGGCCTGATCACCCCCACCACCACCGCGTCCCCGCTCCCGGTCGTGACGCCCCGCCGCGCGCGCTTCTCACCCGCGTGCAGCCCTGGTGAGTGCCTCGTCACTCGTCATCGCGCTGGGTCCTGAACAGACCTCCCCAACCGTCGCCCACCCCCTTCACCGCGCCGCCGCGACCACCGCACGCCCACGTCTCACCGTCCTCCACGCGTGTCGACACTCTGCCACACGTGCACGTCTCACGCCCGCGATAGCCCAGGTGAGCCGTTTCCTTGTTACTCTTCGCGCGTTGGGTCCTCAAAAGACCGTCTCCCGCTCCCTTCACGGCCGTCGGAACCGCGGCACGTCGCACTCTCAAACGTGCCCCGGTCGTGACACCCCCTCGCGCACGCTTCTCACCCGCGTGCAGCCCTGGTGAGTGCCTCGTCACTCGTCATCGCGCTGGGACCTGAACGAACCCTCCCCGACCGTCGCCCGCCCCCCCTTCACCGCGCCGCCGCGACCGCCGCACACCCACATCTCACCGTCCTCCACGCGTGTCGACGCCCTGCCACACGCGCACGTCTCGCCCCCGCGATAGCCCAGGTGAGCCATTTTCTCGTTACTCTTCGCGTTGGGTCCTCAAAAGACCATTCCCCTCCCCCTTTGCGGCCGCCGCAACCGCCGCAACTCGCGCTCCCGGTCTGGTTCCGCGAACGTGCCCCGGTCGTGACACCTCTCGCACGCGCTTCTCGCCCGCGTGCAGCCCTGGTGAGTGCCTCGTCACTCGTCATCGCGCTGGGTCCTGAACAGACCCTCCCCAACCGTCGCCCACCCCCTTCACCGCGCCGCCGCGACCGCCGCACGCCCACGTCTCACCGTCCTCCACGCGTATCGACGCCCTGACACACGCGCACGTCTCGCCCCCGCGATAGCCCAGGTGAGCCTTTTTCTCGTTACTCTTCGCGCGTTAGGTCCTCAAAAGACCATCTCCCGCTCCCTTCACGGCCGTCGGAACCGCGGCACGTCGCACTCTCGGTCTTGTTCCGCGAACGGGCCCCGGTCGTGACACCCCCTCGCGCGCGCCTCACCCGCGTGGCAGCCAAGGTGAGTAGCTCGTAAATCGTCTTCGCGCTGGGTCCTGAACAGACCGTCCCTACCTTCACGCCACCACGACCACCCGCGCTCATGACGACTTCGCCCCGCGTCTCACCCTCCTCGCTCTGGACCGTCGACGTCTACTCTCACAGCGCACCTCACTCGCTCTTCGATCTCACCGACTCGCTCACCATGCCGCCTATGAGCGTCGAGCACCGCAACGTGAGTGTTCTTATCCTTCCACTTACATATGTTTTCTGACGATTCCGACCATCGCACGCAGACCTTGCATCAGATGATGCAGGGCCCTTTCCTTGACATGAAAACCGCAGCGATCCTCAACGTGCTTATTTCAGCTTCGTTGCGACGAAACGTGCTTACGTGTGCTTTTCAGGCTATCCGATTCGGTCTTGGTGGACGGATCAAGCAGAAGAAGAATGGGGTAACTATAAGCTTCCCCCATAGCCAGTGTCGATTCCTACACCAGATGGCCCTAACGCTCGGCTGGCACAAGGTAAGTTACGTTCTATCACGCACGTGAGGGCTAGCTGATGGAGCGGAGTCGCAGGATCATGGCAAGGGAAAGGGGAAGAAGATCCCAGCGAACGTAGTGGAGAGGTGAGCACTCGTCCTCTGGTATTTATGCGTCTGTTACTTACCGTGCCGAACAGCATGGGCCGCGACCTCAAGCGCGGCCTTCGCCTGGAGATCGCTGCCGGCGGGTTCAACACGTGGAAGTGGAACCGGCTCTGCAATCGCGACTGGCAGCTCCCTTTGTAGAGGGCCGTAGAGGGCCTGGTAATGATTTGTTTCGTAGATTGGTTCGTACTATCCGTGCTCTTACGACTACGCGCCGGCGGCCCGCGAGACGCGTCTCCGAGAAAACCGGGATGTGATCGACCTGCACGTCATCCAGGCACTGCGGAGGTGGCCGTGCTCGAGGACCACCCTCGCAGTGCCTGTCTCCGGCTGCACGGCGAACGTGAGGCGCGTAAGTACTCACCCATCGGATCGACAGATGATACTGGCGCCTAGAGGGGGCCGCGCGGACGGTCGCATGAATTGTTGATGCTATCGTGGGCTGTGTGGGGTGGCATGTGGTCGCTTCGTATGCAGCATGGTACGCTTACTGATTTCACAAAGTACCATGCGGTCAATGCGAGGATCGGACATGTGCACTGCGGTAGTGGACACGTGAAGAGGCGAAGGGCGTGCGCGAGGTGGAGGGATGCGCGAGGCGGAGGGGCGCGCGGAGGGGTGCGCGAGGCGAAGGGACGCGCGAGGCGAAGGGACGCGCGAGGCGAAGGGGCGCACGAGGAGGAGGGGCGCGCGAGGCGGAGGGGCGCGCGGAGGGGCGCGCGAGGCGAAGGGGCGCACGAGGAGGAGGGGCGCGCGAGGCGGAGGACGCGCGCGAGACGGAGGACGCGCGCGAGACGGAGGACGCGCGCGAGCGCACCAGCCGGGCAGACGTGGGGTGTAATTGGCAAGTGCCCAAAAGTCGGCGGAGAGGCAGCTGGGGGTGGTAATTGGCAAGTGCCCAATTGAGGGCTGAAGTTCCATATGGCAAATGCACAATCTGTACCAAGACAAGCGCCGTACAGGCAGGGGAGCTTGCGCTCCGTGAGTATAAGTGTTCATATTTACCATTTTATCAGGCTATATTGAATGACGTTTGCACGGTTTCAACAGACCAATGGTGCAGTTGGTGGAGCAGTATTGTGCCTCTCTGGGTGCGCATGTTCGAAACTGATTGAGTGCAGTTTGAGTTTTGCCGGGCTCTTCGCGCCCGGCTGCCTGCTGTTCACCTGCGGTCTACCTCGTCACGTGGTGGTTTCTTTGTGCGCGGGTATATGGCACATGCCCATTGATCCGATACCAAATAGGTGTCATTATATACTCTAGCGTACTGAGGTCCCTCCAGCCATTGTCCATTCGGTTGGGTCAATCTCGAGGTGTCGCAGATCGTTTGTCTTGTCTGAGGTCAGCCGGTCCACAGCAGCACGATATTTGAGCGAGAGATGAATCATATCTCCAGTTGAGTGCCACCTAGTGCGAACATCTCGAGGCAGCATCCGGGGAGGAAGCTGGAGATCTCGAAGAATCTCGTTCCATGCTGGAAGAAGCTTCGTCGGAGAATTTATAATTGCGAAGGAGATCTGACGAAGCTGCTTGAAAGCGATTAGAACTGAGAGCTATTCCAAGGAGTAAACCATACCTTATGTATCACGCTCTTGGCAGGCTCAACGCTTGCCCGGAATTTCTTCACCTCGTCATCTGTCATAGATGAAAATATGTCGGTGAGGTGTGAGTCTTCCTCCAAGTCGTCATCGGACTTCTTCGACTTCTTGTCCGACTTCTCGACACTTGGAGCAGTGTCGAATACAGAGATGATAGACTTAGCAACGAGATTGACCACATGGCAGAGGCACCGGACTCGAGCACGGCCACCAAGGAAGGAGTCGATTGCTTCTTCCATTTTCTGTATCATGACATTATTGTTGGACGCATTGTCACAGATAATAGCAAGCAGCTGTTGGGAGGTCTTAGCAAGAATATCCAAGGCACTCATACTATTCTGAACTCGCCTTCTTGAGCAGATTGAAGTCTGAAAGAATCTCGAGGAATACCTTAGCAAGATTCTCGCCACTGTGAGACTAAACAACCCGATTCAAACGCGTGCACACAGAGAGAATGCGATTGAACACACCTTTGCGACCTCCACAATGTCAAGCAGTATCTGAACACGCTTCCCATCCCGCTCGAAATGAGCAGTAACAGCCATGAAAGGGCGGTGATTGGGTGACGTCCAGCAGTCTGTCGCCAGGCTGACGCGTCCCTGGTGCGTCTGTGGAAGCATTGAGATTGTGTGAGTGAAGGTCTCGACTGAACACATGCAAATACCTTGAAGAAATCCGCCCATCGCTCCCTTGTACGCTTGAACAGTGTCTGGATATCTCGAGAAACCGTCATGCGAGACGGGATAGTGAATCCAGGACGTCCGGACAGCATTAGCGTCTTGAAGCCGTCATCTTCAACAATGCTGATTGAGCGAAGGTTTTCACACACCCATTGGGCAGTGACGGCTCTATTCAGTATATTAATTGGCCAGATATATTAGTAAGAAGCTTGCGGTACTCACCTCGTCTGCATCTTTGTCAGTGGCTTGTGGCTTGGAGTCAGAGAAGTCTTTTTCGGTGCCGAGCCGTCCGGTGTCTTCAAAAAGCGACTAATATCGCCGTCCGTGGCGAATACCTTTGCAGCGACGCGAAGAGCGGCATGGTCTTTGCTCTTCTTGGCGAGTTTGACCACATCGGCATTGAAGCACGCTTCAACGTGCTTCCACAGGTTCCCGGGT